ATACAAGAATTTAAAGAAACTCAGTTTGAGACAAGTATTTAGTCAGCTGTGGTTATGAATTCAAATAACAAAGTTTTCTACTATATACAACTGTTATTTACACCTAATTAATCATTTATAAAATAATTAAAAAGTAATAATGTGTTTTATTATTAATAAAAGAATATATTTATTCATCCAGAATCACAGAATCAGTAGCTCTCTGTGCATGTATTAATTATGCAGAGTTCTGACTGGAAATGTGTGATTTCTAGAGAATGCAAAATTAACACATGGAATATTATTCAAAGCTACCATAACACGACAGAAGTAAACTGTATAATAATTTACCTAATATCAGAAAATCTTAAATAAGAAGTAGCAAAAAACTTGGGAGCATTACATACATTACCACAGGTAAAAGAATATACATATTGTGACATAGTTCCAACAGAAAGATATTTACCGCAAATTGTTACTTTTGGATCCTACTGAAATTGTGTTTCTAGACAATACACAAACTGATATCAACAAAATTAATAATGATTAAATATAGCGATTATGCTTTACTTTTAAATGCTAAAACGGATAGTTTAAGAAGATTAGAATTCATCTAGTATAATTTGTATAAAACTTAATACACCTTCAGTACTTGCACTCACACATCCAAGCTGAATTGTAACGTTATAGCCCAGAATGTTTTTATAAAAGCAAGAAATTAAATATCCCCAATAAAAACAGATCTACATATTTTTTAATAATTCCATTTTATAGTTTATAATATCATATAGTATGCATCCTCATGTAGGGATGCTTGTAGAAGAATTAATAAAAGCCTCACATAATTATAGAAGTATGCAACATCTTAATGAAGTAGTGAAGTGTTCCCTAAAACACTTTTTAAGATGCGTATGCATTAAAAAATGCCATGGTTTGGCTATCGCTTAATCTCGGCATTATAGAACTCACTGTCACGACGTCCCTGCGAACGCTGCTCGGAGTAACGGCCCAGATAGATTTTTCAACAGCTTCAAAGTAGAAACGGAAGCGCTGACTCATCTCCCCCTACGTTTTCTCATGGAGGTAGGAAGTAAGTCCTACCTCCATGCGTTTTCTACTGTCAAAGTAATCGTAACGAGCGACTCGCTCCGAGCCTCTCTAACAGGTGTAAACTGACCTTTACAACAGAGAGAACGATACAGCTGTAATCCTTCTCTAATTACGATGCAAAAAAATACGATTCAGAGTCACCACTTTTCAGTCTGATGCTATATGGAACCCACATAAAAAATTTCGATAGAAAAATAAACTAATTCACTCTCATTATATCAGTTTTGAATGACTTTAGTCTTTCTAATAAAATGGTTGTAAAGGCTCAAGTTTCATCCAATATTCCACCTATATTCAATTTTAGTCGATGAAATGTGCCAAAAAATTTATCATAAATGACTAGAAATCAATAATGCCAACAAACACACAAACAAACATTCTTCTTTATATTTAATCTGATCAAAATCTTTATATGATTTTGTAAAACTCACAAATTTTTTATTGACAAACTCTACGATTTGAAAGAGAGAAGTAGCAACATTTTTCGAAATAAAGCAATTTTAACTCCAACGCGCGAGGCTGTTGCCACTCACAAAAATGAATGCGAAAATTGGCTGCTTTCAGGGTGTTTAATTAATATTTTGGCTGATTAAAACCGTATGAAGAAGGGAGTAATCTAAATGGCTACTCACGAGCTTTTGGAATCGGGAATAATGTATTTAACGTTTGGCAATGCTGTTTTTATTTCATCCTAAAACTTAAAAAAAATTTTTTTATTAACAAACTCTAGGATTTGAAAGCGAGCAGTGGCTTTCCAAGACAGACTTTCATCTCCAGATTGCGAGACTGTTGCCACTTGGAAAAATGAGGGCAAAAATTATCGTTTTTTCTGAGTTTTTAATTAATATCTGTGATTTTATCTACTTTTTTTTTCAAAAAAAAAAAGTGGCCGTCAACTTTTTACAGAACCTAGAAAAGAATTTTAGAAAACTTGATGACGATAGCTATAGTAGTGACTGAGTTATTAGAGGACAACCAAACGCACAGACTATATAATTCTTTATATATGTAGATTTGAGACGTGAGTTGAATAGGAGGAATTAAGTTCCTCTTAGATAATTCGATTTTTTGATTATAGCGATGTTTGATTAAATTTAAATTGGGTCACCAATATATATGAATATAAATATTGTGTAAAATATTAAACATCTTAAGCTTTTGAAATTTTGATCTTTTGTGGCGGTGGTGCATCGACTAGGATACGTGAAAAAAAAAGGAGTAAGTTTCGTTTTTATTGCTCGAGATGGATATTGATAACTTGAAAAAGAATCTTCTCAAAAGGGCATACTATCAACTAAAAACATTATCAAAGATTATCAGTAAAAATGATTCGAAAGTTTCGAAAATTCTTTTGTCACAATTAACGGAAAAAAAATAATGACGTGAATTTCATTCATGATGAAATTTTGAACTTAACTGATGAAAAGGATGATAATTTAATAGAAAACAAATGTAAGTTGAATGAAAAAAAATGAAGAATTAAATTTTGAAGTTAATAGTGTTTCTGGTGTGAGTCGTTCTCGAAACAGTACTGTCTTAATAACTAGCTAGTTCTTTTCTCAAAATACTGAAATGCATTCGATCAAATTGCCCAAATTAAAGGTAAATAAAGTTTTTGACGATTCCTCGCAATGGTTAGAATTCATTGGGAAATTTAAAATTTCTATCGATAGAAATCCCAATTTGAGTAAAGTTGAAAAAAAATTGATTTACTTTCGAAATTTCCTTGGAAGGCTTAGTATTAAAAGAAAAAAAATTGTGATGCAGCTTCAGAAATTTTGCGATCTAGATATGAACAAAATAATCTTCTAATTAATTCTCATTTAGGGCTGTTGTTAAGTATACCAGCGACATTTTTGGTTCAAGAAAACTATTTGATCGGGCAGAGATCTAGATCAGAAATTTAGAATAGATTCAAAATTTATATGGAAACCTGCTTGTACCAATTCTTATGAAAATTACACCAGCAGATCTTACGTTAGAATTTAGTAGATAAATCTAAAAACTGGGATCTAAAAGGCTTATCAGATTTTTTTGAAGAATGAAATAGTTAGCAGGGACTGAGCTATGTCTGTCGAATCAGGAAAAGATAACTTTAAAATAGATTATGAAAATCGTTTACCCCTAAACCAAAAGTCTGAGAAATCAAAACGACACCAAATAAAATATGCCACTAAAGATTTATTAACTGGCGTCAATTCAAACTGCATATTTTTAAACAATACCATGTCTCAGTGACGTATGGGAGTATTAGCACTGATGCTAAAAAAAGTTCGAGTGTTGGGTGTTTGGATCAAATATCGAGCTGATCACAGACCATAATCCATTATTATATTTGCATAAGTCGGTATCGCATTCTGCCAAATTAGAGAGATGGACAATGGCACTTCAGCGTTATAATATTCATATTTCTCATTGCCCTGGTGCACAATTAAAAAATGCAGATAGTCTTTCAAGACTAGTTGGTGAATGAAATAGGTACGAACCAAGTATGAACTAATATGTATAAAACTTTGCATTAGGTATTTTTCTTTTGTTCCGGAATTGTACGAGAGCTACTTTTCATCTGTTTTGAAAAAAAATTAGTGGTTTTCATTTAATGTTCCATTATAATATTGTGTTTTGAAATAGTATTGCATATATGTTTTATTACAGAACTCCGGTATTGTATCTGCTATCTCAAATCCCAACTATGCCGCCTTTGTTTCAAATCCAGCTATTGAAACAAATATTCAACACCTAATCTCTAAATTTACCATTGCAACCTACCTGCATATTTTTTAAAGACAATGTGAAAAAGTTAATATAAAACAAATAGATTACATCACTCATCTCCTACCTTTTTCTGCCTATAGACATTTCACAAATTATTTTAAGAGAACCGAAGGACAAATTAGAAGATTATTCATACATCAAAAAAATTGTGCTCCAGAGAATCAAATCAAATGCTGAATCATTTCGAATTAAAATTACCACATACCAAATACAGCCTGGAAAGACTTTGCTTGCGAATTAAGCAATTACCCTGAAGAGTGGCTACATAGTCTCGATGTTACAGACTTTGAATCGCTCAAAGACTTGGTCCTGATGGATCAGATTAAATGAAGAGTCAGTAGTGATGTTAAGGAGCATTTTATTGATACTTTGGGAAAAAATAAAGAGTTTATCTGAATTAGTTCAGAAATTGGATGATTAAGAAGCTGTACCTGTTAAAAATACGAGCTATAAAACTCAACTTCATGGCAGGCGGAACTATTCTTTCAAACAGACTAATTCATCCAAACACAAAGTAGAAAATCGAACAAGTGACGTACAGGGAACTCGTAAAACCTTTTTAAATCGTGGTCAGCAGCAAACGGAGGAAAACCGACCTCTTTTAACGTGTTATGGGTGAGGAAAAATTGGTTTTATCAAGTCTAAATGTCCAGACTGACACTCCCCAAAGACTTTATATTCATCAAATTTAGGCATGATCCAAATCCGATCCTGTTTATCTTCCACACGGACTGCTGTATTTCGAATTAGTATTTCCGGTAAATGTTTTGGCGATAGTGATGCTAGTCATTCAATCGCAAGTGAATCTCTGTCATATTCTGCAGAAACAAGATGCAGTTTTTGAAAAGACAACATTACAGGTGTCTTTCGCTGATGGTTTGGTATCCGAAAAAGAAGTAGTACTTCGCCGTTCGAGGAGATTCGAATCCCGGACCAAACTGCCTGTGTTCAGAGACTTCACCACTCAGCCGCTGGTGGGTTTATGACCTAGGCATTCCTTCCCTTAGGCAGATATCTGTAGTGTGCTTTGCAATGTTTAAATAACCTAACTTAATTTAACCGCAAAAAACTTTTCTAAACGGTGAGAAGAAAATTATGTTTTATCCAACACATAGAATAAAAAAACAATAAAGAAGTATGATTTAAGAATGTTTATTCTTACGTTCTTTCATGCACACATCACAGCTGAAAAGCTAAAAGCAGCTTAAAAGAATTTTTAAAATTTTCTTTCATTCTTTCTGGGAAGCGAGTCTCAAAATTGTTTCAATGCAGATGTAACGATGAAAATAGTAATCATAAAATGCAAACAAGTAGAATAGACTAATGGCCGTTTTTATCACTACATTTCTTTTATAAAATAATGAGTAGTTTAAAGTGCATATGAAAACAAAATCCGTTTTGGATTTAACAATACACAATTTTGAAACTCACTTCTCAAGACATTGTTTCTTCTTTCCAAATCATAGAAGCAAAACTTGGAAAAAAAATCTATTAGCCAATTAGCAGTAATTAACATTAATTATTTCAATTCATTGAGTTTTAAACACCTCTCCGGCACCTCTGAGATCACATTGTAAGTTTAGGAAATTATTCCTTAATAGTATAACAACACTAAACCGTAGAAACATCTAAAATTCCATAATTACAAATTTCATCTACAAACCTTCACAATGATTTCTTTCATAGAAAATTATATGTATGTATATTTACTCACGTATGTATATATATCTTTGCAATTACAATCAATGAATCAAATTACAAAACTCATGAAATGTTGTATTATACAAAACGACAATAAAAATCATTCACTAGAAGGGGGAAGAAAGAACATAACAAACATGGAATGATAAAATACAGGTCAAGTAAAGAGTCGCACAAAATACATGCATTTACAGTGATAAGGAACTACAACTCCCTTAAATAGGTATTGAAATACTACAACAAAATAAAGCTTAAGACCATTCTTTTCCAATGAAATGATATCAATATTTTTCGCATTTTTACAGTCTGGGAAGATACAGATAGTAAGTACGCTGTAGGAAATGCTAGTAATTCCAACAACACGGATTAAAGAATAAAGCTTGTAGAAATATGGCGGAGTTACTATAGACACTTTTACATAGAGGAAATTAAAAAAAAAAATGGTAATAATCATTAGAAACTTGTCGGTCCTTTTCAATCCTCATTATAGCTTTTCTAGTACAACCACATCAGCAAACGCAGAACAGTTTTTTTTTTTTTTTTTTTCATTGTTAGTTAAGCAGTTCGGTAATCTGCACTGTTCTTGCGCCAGCTCCCATCTTGGCAAGTTTCATCTGTGAAGCAAAAGGCAAGGTGTATATTTATATAACATTCTTCCACAAAAGTTCGGTAGAATGTTTGGCTTTTTTCTTTTATTTTTGTAAATACAGCATAGAATCAAAACATCGAGTTAGCAAAAAGTTGACTTTGAGAAATCGTGAAAGATTTCGCCGATTTTTCTTTACGTTTTGATGTCTCCAATCACACAAGAAAAATGTTTATCGCACTTTTGTTGACTTGAAAACGTTTTTTCTTTCTTATGATGAACACTACACAGGACTGCTTTTACCGATGCTACTTTTTGAGCCTTTGGGAGATTTGTTTTTAAAATTCTCGTCTATGATAAGGTCGACAGGTCTAGCATCCCTATTCCTGGAAGGAGAAAAGAAAATAAGTTTTAGCATTTCAAAAATTAACTTTATGTAACTACACACCAGGCTATAAAGAAAAAAATGAATGAAAAAAAAATTTATTTCAAGCTAATATTCTTAGTAATGATTTATCTTCGCGAATCTAAGGATCCGAACATAACGTTTTGCGGTAACAAACCTGAAGAATATCATGTGTAACTCATTCACTTTAATGAGCAGAATTTAAAAACATTCACTGGCGTAAGTGGTCATTCCATGTGCGAAATTTCGAGGGTATGCACTGCCATGTTATCCATGGGGCTGTGAATAATCCCATGGGTACTCAGAGATGCAGCAGCTCTTTAAAGGATGTTCTCGAGAATCATTTTCTCCACATCCTTTAAGTAGCTACTGGATTTAGGCACAGATAAATACATATTACCGAGTTCCCTGTTCATGCCTTTTGATGAATTTCAGATTGGCTTTGATTTTAGGTGATTATGTTTGAATTAAGAAGATACATTCGTGTCTTCTTCCATTTCATTGATTTTTTTTTATTGGGTGGGGGGAATATTCCACAATTTAATTTTCCTCTGTTTGCATTTATGCTATAAAATATAAGTTGTTATAATTCCTATTATTCATAAAGGACAAAATATGGAAAATAATAATTCAAAGGGACAAAATTTATATTGTGCATATTTTCTGGTTTTTTACTGGAACACAAAGTGATTAAGCAATTAAAACCTTCAAAAGACATGAAAAAGAAGAAGTAAGAGAAGTAATAATAAAAAACGTAGATAAATGTATTAGAAAAGAGCATGGCACAAACTCTTTTGAAACATTAAAAACTAGCAAAGTACAAAAACAAAAAGGCCAATTTTTGCAATACAAAAACTGCAGTTATGCCATTTAAGATTCAAAAATATCTGTAAGTTCGTTTTAATGAAGAACTTAAAAATTAATAGTATGAAAACAAATGAGGGAACTTAAGGTTTTATTTTCAATAGTTTCCAAAGATCTTTCCTGATCAAATGCTATTGGAATTGGACCACTATCCAAATACTGTAAGTAAAACACATTTTAATTTTCTTTAACTAATTCAGTTAAACATGCTTTAAATTCAGCTGCTGGAACAAGCATGAATGAGATGATCTGATGGAGCATTTACATAGTTATTGTAAAACAAAAGAAGCCTGTATTAATTTAGAAGTCAACAACAAAAATCAGAATTTATATTTACAAATTTTCACAGGACTAGTTTCGGTGGTTTTACCGAACCATCATCCTCAGCTGCCAAAGCGCAAATGAACCAGTTATTTAGCTTCTAGATTTTCAACTCTATTAGATAATAACATTTACACCATACGAAATTCAATAGTTTCTAAAAAAAAGTTTAAAGCATTTCTCCTATAAATTTACTCATGGTTTCTTTTGATGTAAAATCATTCCCAATGTTCCAGTGGAGGGTGTTGAAAGATGGCACGCATGTAATTAAGGTTGCAGAATAAATTATTAATTAGTACAGCCCATTTCTTTAAAATTGTATTATTTGTATACCAACGCCCGCATCGCAGGAACATGAGGTATTAGCCATGGGAAGTCCCATCCTGTCTGATACCTACATGCATTATTATGAATCAAAAGTACTATTTGAAACTTTCCGGTATGTTTCCGCTACGTGGGCGATACTTTTATCCTGTTTGACAGTAACAAAGATGATTTAAATAAAATTCTTTCAACAATGAATTCCATCGATCCTGCTACAGTTCATTTTTGAACTTTAAACATGCAATTCTCTTCCGTTTCTCGACGTTTTGCTCACATCCAACTCCAGTACTACGGTTAACTGTAAACCTTTATCAGTTTGCCTACCACCACACTTCAAATCATGTCATCTGACTAAACAAAAGTTAGCTTCATTTTATTCCTGTGTTTTCCTTGCACTTTAAGTTTGCTCCACCATACTGGCTCTTGATCAAGAACTAAATTATTTAAAAACAATAGCTTTTGACAGGGGCTTTTCATCCAACATTGTTAATCAAGCAGTTAAAAAAATTCTCATCTCAACACACCAAAAGGCACAGTCTTGTTTTAGGAGATTATAAGAATTCTGTTGTCTCCTTTCTTTCCGTTTATTTTCGTTTCCGTTTCCGTCGTGTCAATTTTATAGTTATAAAATTGCACGTATTTTACAGAAATTTAACTTTATTATTCTCGTATGAATTAAATTTCAAGTTCCATACTCAAGAATCCCATTCCGGATATGAATTTCTGGGATATTTACAGGATTCCTTGCCAGTGTGGTTTTAATTTACATTGTTCAAACTAAGACAGCCTTAATATTTCGCTTTAAGGAACATGAGGCATATGTTAGAAAAAAGGAAACACAGAAGTCTTCTGTTGCCCAGCATTGTTGATCCGAAAAATCACACTTTCAATTTTCCTGCAGCCAAAATGATTCCCAAAAAATCTTCCATTGATGGATTAGATTTTCTAGAGGCTTTTCACATTCAAAAAGAATTTTTTTCTGTTCTAGTTAACAACCATAATTCCTGTTCTATGTTTTAGTTCTTCTTGATCAATAGATGGCGCCAGTAGCTTAACCCTGGTCCAACCATTCTTATCTAATCACTATATCTCATGCCGTTCATTTGCGCTTTGGCAGCTGAGGATGATGGTTCAGTAAAGAGCTTTGCCTCCCCTCTTCATATATACAAACAAACTACAAAAAATGTGAAAATGCTTTATAGGAAATAAATTAAAACTATGATTATTTTTGAAAGAAGAAAAAACTTTGAATTCCAGCATTTCAAAATTAAATTAGTTTGTGTAATTCTTTTGTTAGCAATATCATTGATGGCATTATAGAGATCCAATTGCAATAGAACTCTAGTTGCTTTTATGTCGAGTGTATACAAAGATATCTCAAGTGCAGAATAAATATTTATAGCCTTAGATGACTTATTTAAAAAAACTGTCTTCACAACTAACAATAATGACAGCAGTTGTATTACAATATTCGGAATTTTGTTCTGGAGATTGTATTTTAGAACAAATTACAAATATTCAAAAGGATTGCCCTTCCATGTTCCTGTTTCGTTCTTCTAGACAATAATGGAATAAAATTCTAAAATACTTCTATCTTAAATAGGAATTCTTCCTTATGAATGCCGTCTGATTATAATTTACTTAATATTCGCCATTTTTATTCAAGAGTTTCAAACGAATAAAACAGGTGTAATAATACTGGTACACCTATTTGTTGAAATCTTGTGGCCATTTTGAATATTTTATCTAGAATTCTTCTCAATTTAATTCCAGATGGCAATTCAGAATCTGACTGTTCTTCACCTGCTTCGGTGATTCAGGTAAGTAAACCCTATAAAATAATATTTCAGTAAAAAAAAAAATGCTTTCTCGAAAATTGTGCCGCCCTTTGCAAAGTGACCCTGTCTAGCTATACCACTCTGATAAGGTACTGTTACATTTACTTCACATTTTATGATTCTACCCCAAGGAAGGAGGTATTGCGATTTGGAAGGCATCACATAGGCACTCGTAACATTATACAGGTCATCCGCTGTTCGAAAAGACAGAAACCTTTGTAAGGATGCGACGGGATTAAGATGCTCACATCTTTATGAAGTTTTTGACTAGAAAAAAAAAAGCAACCTTCGTATGAGGTGCGAATGCGCCTTTTATGGCAGAGCACCCTTATGCAAATCTGATTTTAATTTGCTTTACTAATTAGTTAATTGAACAGTGGGTCTATGCAGAGTTATTCTTCATGCAAGTGTCTACACTTTTCTATATAGATACTGAAGATTCATTTCATCCTTTGTTTAGCACTTTACCGACCGATCGCCTATTAATAGGCTTTTTATCGCCAACGCCTACCGACCGATAGCCTATTAATCGGCCTTATACCACCAACGCCTACTGACCGATCGCTTATTAATCGACTTTTTTTCGCCAAAGCCTATCGACCGATAGCCTATTAATCGGCTTTTTTTCGCCAGCGCCTACCGAACGATAACCTACTAATTGCTTTTTTCTCGGGGGCTACCTAAAAATAGGCTATCAATCGGTAGCCAAGGCGATAAACAATTGCCATTTGCTATATCATCTACATTAGTATTGAGGTACCTTGCTCACTTGCGTTAAGTGCGTTGCTTCGTAAACTCCCATATTTTCACACCGAATTAAAAAATTTTACCGTTCACGATGAGCGAAAAAAATGATCCTGGAGATTTTTATTTAGACGAGTTATCAGATTGTTCTGACAGTATTTTAGGACAGGGAGAATCTGCAGAGGAGCGGCCGGTCGGACGTGCGTATGCTGTTGAACCGCTAGCGGTCGGTATCGTGTTAATAACTAACTAATAATTCAAATGAAAATCGCCCTTCCTAAGAACATCCGGCATAAAAATGCCAGCATGCTTATAAAAGTTGCTTTTCTCAAGTAAGAAACAGATCTTCATAAGAGTGCGGGCACATTTATGAGAGAATCACATGTGATCAGCACTATGGTAGGCCATCTCTGCTTTCCTAGAATGTTACCAGTACAACGGTGGTAACAGAACCGTTCCTAGGCCATTGGCTGCCTGCGTACTTTCCTACGATTGCTGCTCCCAAATTAAAAAAAAAAAAAGCTCTGATTCATAAAATTTTTATTTCATACTCACTAAGTACTTACATACGACAAATCGTATAAAAAGCACTTACGTATGACAAGTACTTGCAGTGAATTTAAAGTTATCCCCTTTCGAAACCCGGGACTGTTTTTGTGCTCATCCTGTATTTTAAATTACGTTTCACAATTTTAAGATTGCACTGTAAACTAGACTTTTACGTATACTTATGCAACGTTATATAAGGTTTAAAATTCTGTTAACTTAATGAACATAAAGTACAAACATTGGCATTAATTATAAAAGGATAATTGAATATAAAAATGAATAACACATTAATACAAAAAAGTCACTGCAAAAGATTAAAACATGCAAAACAAAAGGTGCAAAGTGTTAAGAGAGTTTCACAGAGTTTGCCACAAGACACAAAACGGGAAATTACAAGACAAAACTTTGAAAGAAAGCTGACATCTTTGCGTTTTCAACATCACTGGACGTACGAACGGAAAGACACTACATTTGAATCATGAAATTGATTAGTACCCAAAAAGGCCGAGATATTTTCAGCATTCATCTTCTCATTGGTAGCATGGGTGCCTCCTCGAAAGGATTCTGTGTGCGCTGAGACTTGTCATCATTACGCAGTTTTCCTTTACTAAAATTGGAACATGTAAAGAATGAAGGTCTATGTCGATACGAAATAAAAGCAAAGCCTGGTTCATAACTTTCCAAGATAATCTAAATAACTCTTGGCGAAACATGCAGTTGAAGCTAACTTAAATATTTCCGTAAATATCTGACAAAAAAAATCATGGTGTTTTTCGTCTACGAAGAAAAATACACGACTTTAGTAACATCTGTATTATTAGCTCAAACAAAGAACACCATGCGCTATGAACCTTGAGCACAGGTACAAGAACACAATTTTGTAACTCTTATACCCACACATGACCACCTCTTCGTTAATAAAACCCCTTTCAATAATGATGAAATTCTGTAATAACATACAGATTACAATTGTCTATATGCATTCATTTAATAATTACAATTTTTTAGTCATAAATACTTTATTAAGTAACAATGTGCATATCATTTTAACTTTCAGCCAGAGAGAACCATTACGAGCCCACATTGCAAGAGAAAGAAACAAGGTCAATTATTTTGAAATCTCAAAGGTGTAACAAAAACTTTTTGGGTAACTTCGAGTGTCTCACTCATTATGCATATCGCAGAGTAGCCCAAACAATGTAATGAAAATAGCTTTATAAAATTTTAATACGTGAAAATATTGCAGGAAAGTTGGTATTAAAATCCTCAACAGAATTGGCATTATGAGCATAATGTTATTGTACCATTTCAATGCAGACATACCATAAAGTTTATCTCAGAATGTTGAATGCTGTCACAAGTAATCCAGAATGTTTTGAAACTGGAATTCAAAGCGTAAAATATTCAAGTAACTGAGGAAATATTACATTCAGTTCAGGTTTCATGTATTTCGAATTCCACGACATGTTACACTAATTGAATGTTTTCAGATTTGGATTCATGCATGGTAAAGTTCCTCGTAACCAGTACCTCATTAACTGTCAATATCAAAATAACGGCACTTTTGAAATCTAAATTTAAACCCGAAATTTAGATCTATGAAATAATAATAATTAAAAAAAAATACGGACTAACAATCTGAAGACTTAGATGTGGAAAACATTTGTGTTAGGGTTTTGCCGCCCAACTTAACAATCCTTATCCAATCTAGTATTCGATCTTAATGCATCGATGCGACTTTCAGAAACAATACACTTTGAAAAACGACATGTTTACATTTGTTCTTCCCTAGAAAACTATAATGCTGTTGGTGTAAACTGTAGTCAATTGACCCTGGCAATCTCATAAGCAGACAGATATTAATGTCATCCCATTATGAAATTTATAACTTTCAAATAATGGTAGATAGGAAAATTTTAAATTGTTTAATTTTATTTTTTAAATATAAAAATTATGTGTATATATTCCAATTTATATAACCTACACAGTTTCTAATATTATTTATTTAATACTGGCCAACAGTTTGAAAATTAGGTCCCAAGGATTTTATTAGTAATGTAAATTCCGTTATTCTGAAAAATCTCTAAATTGGAAACGGTGAGATTCCGTTAGCAGAGATCCTACTCTAGACAGAGTTGAAAACAAATTCATTCAGGTGGGTTTTGAGGTCAACTTGGTGGGACCACCACCTAACCCTGATAATTCTTTGGACTTCGTTTGTAAAGATAATGAGCAAACGCAGTAAAACTGAGAAAGAACAATAACTTTCCTCTAGGTATATGATTAGAGTATTGTAAAATTATCCCAAACCTTAAGGGCCCCCTCACCTTCAAAATGTTAAATGCCAAAAAGGGTGGACATGCTAAACCACATCTTGCATGTTCCACTGAAGAATTCAATAACTTTTATGCGACATTCTCTACACTGAACAATAACAAGCCATTCTTTATGGTGGACACTTGTAATGTACCAGTTTATTGACACTACTAAATGAAATCTTTTGCAGTCTTTTTGATACCAAAACCGAAAAAATGGAAGAAACAGTCATCATGCACAAAATAGTGGACAGCCGTCCATTTTCATGCAGACAAAGACCAGTTGCCAACGATAGACTGTCTAGATTAATTGTTACTTCTGTAGGTGGTCATTTTTCTATAGGTGAGATCTTATGACGTCATATATGGGCATTTTGCAGGCTAGTAAAAATTTTTGTATCATGTGAAGTATAATCATGTGAACCAAAATGGCTGAGAATTTAACAAATCATTGCCGTGTGACGTTCCACGTTTTTTGAATTAATGAACGAGAACAGAAGTGCACAAATAAATGCATGGAGAAGTAGTATTAGATCGGAATAGTATCCCTTGGCTTTGTATGCAGTTAAAATCTGATGGCGCGATTGATTCTGTTAAATGTGAAGTTATTGTGAAACTTAATAACTGAACCATCTTTTATTTTACATCTTTGAAAGAAGCATTAATGACTTTTAAAGATTATACAGCTTTGAAACTGAATGGAAAGTTGAGGTCCATGTGCACTTTAAAAAAAACCTTAATTGGTAATATTTGCTGAATAAGCTCTTTTATATTAGCCAAAGACTCATTATATGAAATCTCAGAAAAGAAATCATTGACTGACTGAGGTCTATAAAATAATGTGCTCAGAATATCAAATAAAGAAAAACTTCAAGCTCGAGTGTTTGCACAACTGCTACTGTTTTATCAAACCAGTTTAACTGAAGTTATAAAACTTAACAAAAGCTCATTCTGCTTCTGCTAGCTAGATCGTTAGTTTGGTGCTATCGAAACATTGTCGGTCGAGGTAAAATTAGGATAATGTTTCACGTGTACTGTTTTATGCAAATGCAACATTCTCATTCTCAGTACGTTTTGAGACTTATCAAAAAGGTAACTCTACAGAAAATAAAGAAAATTAGGAACTGAAAGGTCTAACCATATCTTTAAACTAAACAATCTACTTGTTTGGCAATACTATTAAGGCTAAACAATCATCTAAAGAAGTTTTAAAATAATTCTTACTCAAAAGCAGGATTATCCACCTCAGTTTGTGGCTTTTCTTCATAATTGGATAGTTTGCTACAAGAAGGCAGAATGAAACATATATATAGGTGCACAAAGAGATGTGAAATGCGGGTGACAAAAATATATGAAAAATAGAAATATAAGCCATACAAAGAAAGTGAAATCTGAAAGAACACAGAACAACACACAGAAGAAAGCGCGAAATATATTTTTATTTGAAAATGAAACATATTATGTAAACTTCTTGCATTTATATTTTTCTTTTATTATCATTAGTATGTTAATGTATAGTTAAATACTTGAAAGTTTAAGTTTAATAAGTAAGCAGGTAGCGTGATAAGAGCGAATATATCAATGAGCATGTTGCTTTTGTATTACAGAAAGAACGCTATTTCGCAAAGTTTTATATTTTAACAGGCATAATAAATATATTGATGTATTCAAATTCTAAACGTCTTTTTGATGAGCTTGTTTTTATTAAATTTATGGATTTAATTTTTCCACTTTATATCAAAATTTGAATGAATATTTGAACCAAGAAAGCTTTTTACTTGCTTTTTGTGTGCTTTGATTTAGAATAGAAATGAATTTATAACTAGTATATAAATGAAAGTTTTTGAAAATTTAAGAACACAAACTAGCAATTGTTAAAGCAAATGCATACGTTGTAACATTTAAGTTAAAATTTAAGTAATTTGAAATTAATATCAGATTTTGCTCTATTACAATTTACTCACATCACAATTTTACTGAAGACCCTACAAAATGTAAAAATGTGCTCATAAACGAATTATTATTATTAGCATCCTATATACCTTTTATTATTTTAACATTACAGTGCGAGAGAATTAAACTTTTGGAAAAATTGAAGTATATTAACATTTTTAAGTTTGATATATACTATGTGACTACCTAAAATGTAATCATTTTTAATTCGGAAGTTTTTTTCTTCTTTTTTTAAGTCTTTCTGTCCCTTACGTCATATTTAAAATTAGCAATACAATAAATTTAGACAACATATCCAAAGGAATAATATAAGCATGCATGCGTTAAATATAGCAAACATTTAGAAGCACAGCAAGCACAGACAAAACAGGGAACATGAGTTATTGAGTTCATATTATGTAATACAGTCGAACCTCGAGATACGAACCACTTCTATGTACAAGAAATTCGAGATATGAAGAAAGCATGAGCAAAAACTCCGTCTCTTAATGCGAGCATTGACTCGAGTAACGAGCCACTCTGTTGGTATGCGTGGTGGGTTTCCCGATCCGGCTCGAATCGGGGGATCCCCTTGTCAGATCACTCAGTGTCTTTGATCTACGTGTTTGCGTTTGTGAGTTAATTGTTTTTTTTACTTTTAATGTGAAACGAATTATTTCACGATGCCTCCCAAGAAGATTGTTGCCTCAGATAGTGTTGCAAAGAAAAATACGGAAGCTTTGGCCGTTGAAATTAAGAAAGAAATCATAGATCAACATAAGCGTGGTGTGACGGAACTGGGCGCCACTATTCTGAAGAAGAAATTAAGAAGCTTAATGTAGCCAAAGGAATTACCGTTACATCCAAGCACCGTCCAAAACTCCTAGAAGATGCTGAGAAGCTGTTGTTGGTGTGGATTATAACGAGAAGCAGTTAAAAGGCGATTCGGTGTCGGAAGCCATCATTTGCGGTAAGGCTAATAATCTGTACTTGGACCTTTTCCGAAAACCACCAGGTACGTCGACTGAAGATGAGATGGCAATGAGATTTTTGGGGTTGCGGAACGGATTAACTGGATTTGCATCGCTTTCAATGGGGAAGTTTGTTTCTAGACACGAGAAATTAGCTATATGAGCTCAATGCTGGCACATATTAAACTCATATCTCGAGGTTCTACTGTACCATATTTTCTTGGGTATTTCCATTTCCTTTTTTTGAACTAATTTTATCCTTCGAAAATCGAGAATAGAAAATTATGCGAGTACGAGTAATTTAATTTCCGAAAAGCACAATTACAGCAAGAACATAAGAGGAAAATCTACTCGTAACTGTCACAATATCATTTCTATTAAAAGAAACCTACAGTCCAAGAAGATTATATATCGGCTGATGCACAGTGCAACGTGTCTGGCTCAGTTATCTTGTAAAGCCCTAGAACAACCTCACATGAACCAGTCTTGACGGCAGTTCCTATCATAACAGCGGCATCCGAAGAACCAAAAAAAAAACCCGGATTTAGACAGATCAAACGCATCGGCAGTAGATAAGGCTACAAAGAGTTGAAACGTAAATAACAGAGATAAGGTAAAATCACTTGTTTGGGAACTTTCTGAAATGTGAGAATATCTGCCGTGTCCGGTAGTTTAATGCAGAACAAGCTCAAAATATGTTTCAAATAATAAATGCAAAGAAAAATTAAATGGATGAAATGCTATTATAAAAATGCAAATACAAATAATCAGGGAAATGTAATTTACCAATAAAACAGCCAACTCTATTAAATTAATGTTTAAAACTATTATTTGCCATACAGTAAAAAAGTTTAGCTTCAACTGCATTTTCGCCCCAAGCAGAATGTTAAAAATTACAAATTTCATAATCAAGTACAATAAAGCCTTTTTATACTGAGGAGACACAGAAGTTTGTTTCAGAATTTAAGAATGATTTTCATAGTCTAAGAACGAAAAAAGGAACTACACTTTATTACACACATTTTTGAGGTATATATCAAAGTATGAGTTATACGTAATATCTTATCGTTACGTTATTGAGTTATACATAATATCTTCAGAGACTATGTACCCATTTTCTATGTCATAAATTACATAATAAGTGTGTTTCGAAGCAACTGATTGAAACAGTTTGGTGACTTCAGTTACTTAGGAAGCAGATAAAGTGGAAAACATGCTTTCGGGAAGAAATTTTGAAAAGTTGTGTTAGTTATATTTACATTATACGCCAATAAAACTCATAGTCAGTCTTTTCTGCTAGGAGTTGAGACAAAATTGCGAGAATTGAAAAATCTTATTCATTGGATTGGTATCGTTAGTAATTATTAATTCAATGCATTCAAGGCTATTTGTCTAAAGAGAATAATCAGAGGATTTCTCAAAAATAACTTAATTTCAATTAAATTTATGATATTTTGAAATAAATACATGCAGCATACGCTACTAGAATATAATGCCACATGTTCAAATACTTGCTATTGTACTTTTACATGTCCATCATATATTGTCCTGAAATTCTACTTCTAACTGAACTTGAAGAAGCATATCCACAGGAGTTATTCATACAATTGCTTTTTTTTAAAGCCCAGGTATACAAAAAACTGAATTTTCAAGGTCAGTAAACAGACAAGGTTATGCTATTTCGAGACCAAATCTTTCTCTTTTCGATGCTCGAGATAGTGATGTATCTTGCCTATTTACTCAGAGACTTTACTCACAAAAGTGGTAGAAACCTTGCTTTGGAGTCTACATCGACGTCACCATGCTGGTTGACTTAGTTGAGAAAAGATAGCCTCTACATTTTTGGTGATACACAAGTTGAGTCTTTCATACTGTTTCAAATCATAAAATCCATCAGAGCAATCAGGTCCAAGTAACACCCAAGCAATGGAAACATTCCTACTTAATAGTTTTTCTGGGAACGCGTTGTTGACATAGTCTACAGAATGTGGCTGTGCTGTATTCTGTGTGAAAAACCATAGACTTTTCGCCTGTTACTGGAAGAATTTCTCCATTTTTTTAATTCATGTCCATAACATCCAAAAATATCCCTAGTTCATAACTTCACACACATAAAATTCTGTATCATAAAAAAACTTTCTAGAAGTAGCTCTCACGTTCCTTTGCCAAACAAGTTTATTAACTGTTCGCAAAATGTTTCTTTTTGGGTTATCGGTAGGTAGGATGAGATAAACAAGATGCATTTTCTAATACTGTTCCAATTTTTTGCACAACATATACAGCACTAGAACTAAAATAAAACATTGTTTCATGTTTCCTGCATATAATATTCGCTAGTCTGGTAATTGTCCTTTAGCCATTTTAGCATTTATGCCATATTTTTTATTGTATTACTACCATATTCTATTATTCCAATGATCTCTTCGATTATCCTCACAATACTTCTGAATAAAATTCTTTTAGGCAATAATCCGCATTGTGCTTTCTCTTGCAAGGATATCAGTACCGTAGCACGATGCAGCTGTGCAAGCCTTTTTTTAGTTTAAAATACAATTTCCTGTTGGCTAATGTTTTAACTATTACTTCATGAATTTTGTTACTTCATGAATGCGTTCAAAATGTTATGAGCTGCGTTATGATTATGCACTGCATGATTGTGAAGTAAAAATGCTTTTTATTAGTCAGAAATCTCCGAATTTTTATCGTTTGGATATACACAAATTTTGAAAGAAAGATAGTAAGTACCCTTTACTGAAGTTCAAAGAATCTGTGCATTTTTTACTTCATGCTCAATTTATGAATTTTGATGTATAAAGAATTTACAGAAAATTTTATATTTATGAGCTAGCTGCATTATGAATATACACTTTTTAAGTGTTTAAATACTCCCTTGACATAGCGAGTTATTCAGGATATAGAATTTAATAATAGTATTGTGTGTGTCATGTGAGAAAGAATTCACTCGTAATGTAAATATACATCAACTATGTATATACTTCTATTTCCCTTAACTTCTTTACATAATCAGTGGTACCTTGACATAAGGCATTAATCCAATCCAGATCCTTGGAATTTTCCAATTAGAAATAAAGGGAAAATAATTACACTAATAAGGTATTTTATAACAATGAATGTTCTTATGCTATTACTATTATTATAAATACAAATTCGGTGGATAAAATACATACTGTACACTCCGGGGGGAGGGAGAATGGGACAGTTCTGTATCTCCCGTTCTACTGGGCCGATTGACGAAATTTAGACTGCGTTTTTCATGTCTCAAAAGCGCGACTTAGGATATATATATATATATATAGATTAGATATATATATATATATATATATATATATATATATTAGATTTATACAGAGAATTATTCTAACATATGTATTATGACACAAAAGCGGACTTTTCTTAAATAACTTATAATTTTTTCTCATATTTTAATTCTACGACTCAATCTATAAATATTAAAGTTTGTAATTTTTGGTGAGAATTTTAAAAATTTATCTTGGCGAATTTTTTTCAGTTTGCGCCAAGAATAATTCACTTGGCGGAATTCTTAATTAATGGTAACCTACTTTAACTTTTTTTTTTTAATTGATGTACAAGAGGAAGAAAGGTCCATCGTTCATTCTTCGAAATAATTTAAAAATTGCGTAAACCACATTTTCGTTATTATCGCTTATATTAAATACGCCAAATTTCAAAACCCGCCAAAATGTAAATTCACGTATATCTTAGGAAACCTTGAATGAATATTTTTACAGGTAGGCTTCAAAACATCTAGTTTAAGATGTAAAAATTTATTAATTATAATACAAAAGTTTTCGAAAAATTTATAAAAAATTTAAAAAATATAAATTTTTAAAATAAATAATAATTACATTTGGATTAAGCCTAAATTTCGAATTCTGGAAAAGGAATCAAGTAAGTTTAATTAAAAAAAAAAAGATTACTAAATATATATCAAATTTAATTAACATGGAGGAGCTAAAGTTTTGAGGGATAATTTTTAAAAAAGTACTCGTGCGATGTTTACAAAACTTGGCAGTTCAGCATAATTTGAGTCGTACAATCAAAATACGGAAAAAAAATTGGCATATCATTTCAGAAAAAGTCCGATTTTGAGTCAAAATATCTATATTAGAATGATGCTATATATAAATATAATACATATCCCAAGTCGCGCTTTTGAGACATGAAAAACGCAAGTTGAATTTCGTATATCGCCCCCCGTACAACGGGAGATATGTTTTTCCTTTTTTTTTTCGCACTGTACATAAATGAAACACTAAATATGATACTGTACATAAAATTTTTCTGCTGTGAAAATCAAAGGCAATGTTTCAACGTAATGTCTCTGATCTTTATTTGGTAATTGATTTCAGTCCCTTCACGACGTTGCCCATTTTAAGAGAGTCTTTGTTTTCCACGCATAGACACCATCGTATTATAATATGCAATAACCAAGTCCCAGGTAGGCATACATTCTTCATAATTCTGAACAATCTCTTTTTTCACTTTCATGGTTATCCTAAGAACATTATTCATTGCTTGATTCTTATCGTTAACTTTCCTAAAACTCATTTTTCAAATTAAACGGTGCACTCATGGGCAGTCGTAGCGTTGTTTTGAAAGAGGTAAACAAGCATAGGGCGTGCAGTTGTGACTCATTCCAAACGAATGTCGAAATCAAATAAAACGTTTTGCATAGAGAACAGGATGTATACCAAATTGGACGTATTTCGAAACCGGTGGATATCGAGGTACCACAGTGTATCCACTTAATTTTGTCACTGAGAAAATTTCAAACATTACCTTCCTCACAGAAATTAATGTTAGTAACAGATAAAATACATTTGTAATCATTTTGAAATTTCAAACACTGATAGCATTTTCAAAGTTAGAAAATCTCCAAAGTAATTAGTGTTATTAGCTTGGTAAAGGGAGTTAAGTGTTATAAATGAAAAGTAAAGTTTATTCTGTTAATGGAGGTTAGTAGTGCTGTGATAATAGCTATTCTACTTAAGCTGAATCAACATGCTATGAAAATCAGCATCCCGACATGCAGGTCCCTCTAATCGTGCTAGGTAATCATGCACGCTATATGGTATATTTCTTACTCTGGTGGTGGCAGCTGATCTGGAGAAGACGGAGATTTTAATTCCTGTTTTATCTTGCCGTTGTTTGCGCTGGCAACTTCCTTAACACTGTCAAGAATTAAAACAATTCTGATAAAATGATATATCACTTTATTATTTGAAAGAACAAAAGTATTTAAAAGTAACCATTGCTAAACATACAAACTAAAGTTGAACAAGAATTAATAGTTATTGTAGTAAAATGCAAATCTAGAATTATATAAAATTTAGATTTTTTTTTGGCATTACAAATAAATCAAACACTCAAAGTGCATTTTCCATTTGTCCACTTCAATAGTTTTTTACAATGAGTCGAATAGTTTTTAAAGAATATCATAAAAGGCCTAAATGAAGTCTCACCAAGCTCTGCCATCTTCTAATTTCCCTTGCTCTTTTTCTGGTGATCGTCCACATGTGCGGTAACGCAACAGATACAGAAGACCACAGTGGAATCGGAAGAAGCACGTGACATCCAGTATAACCAAGATGATGAAGAGGGCCACTAGAACAATGGCAATGATCACTGGTAATGAGATGCCTTCTTTGTCCATCACGCTCGTTTGACCATCGTTAGTTTCGCCTAGATGATAAAAAAGAAAAAGGTACTAATGAGCAATTCCACAACCATAATACAATTAGAATCGTTTTCACTTTCTTAGGTTATGCTCTTATAAACTGCCCCTTTTCATCTGTTTAATAAAAGCCTTTTCTTCTTTGAATGAGGGCTTTGAGAAAAAAAAAAGTGTATATTATGTGTAAGAATACAGTGGGTTGTACTGTAACATGTTGTTGTAACATTCCTTTCAGTTTGCATGAAACGTTAGAACACCGAAATACAGAACATGTAGAAGTCAATGCCTGTGGCAAGATACAGCTATTATGGAGTCAAACAGATTTTTAGATGGTGGTTACGGGAATTGCAGTTCATGCACCTACAGTTTTATGACAGAACACATCTGACATACCAAGCTGGCAGGTTTTGTCATGAAAGTCTCTCTGCACCTACAAAGCAGACATTCTAAATTGGTGGGAGATATGGAGCATGTGCTGGTCAAAGTAAAACATCCCGTTTATTGAGGAAATAGGACAGTGCAGGCAGCATACAGTCTATGGACATAGGACAGCACAGACTATTGTAACATAGTCACCTATCACATCAGTTAAACGAATATAGATCTTCACAAGCGCCATCTGTCGGCAAATATTGCTATTAATAATTCCGCAGTGTATAAACACCAACGGCAATTGACATTAATTACCAAATATAGATGGCGCCATGAGACCTTCAGACCTCACAACTAAGCGGATTAATCAAACCTCGTCTACGACATCGCTGCAGGTTTAACATCTGCATCCATGCTGAATAACTGTTATAAGAATTAGAAATGACTCGGTTACGAGATGAAATGAAAAATGAATCACTTCTTAGCAGATATTCATAACTAAATCGTGCACTTCCGAAATGCAAACAGGAAATTGTTTAATGAGAAACAAATTTCAGTCATAAAAAACGTACCTTCTCCGGTTCGGAAAACGATTGTCTCAGGAAGACTGTTTCCAATCTTATTAGTTGCCCTAATTTCAACTTTGTAGTGTGTGTCTGCTGAGAGTCCTGCGAGTTCTATAGATGGACTTTTATCCCAGTTGCGAACTATCTTTTCCACAGCATCGCCTTTTTTAACAAAGCCTTTAATTGTTCTTTCGACCTGAAATAAGAAACACAAGAGAAATAAGTCAATGTTGAGAGAAAAAAAGACCCTGCGGTTTACCAAGCGCATTTTTTATTTCTAATTTAAAATATCATTGTATTAATTTATAGCATTTCATCTGATTTCAATAATTACAACAAATAAAATTCTCAAAAATTTACTGTTGACGAATAGTCTAATTTCCAACACATAAGTATACCCAGCCGATTTTGCAAGCTCCTACAACTATTCATGGTATTGAGGGAAAGCCGGGTATATAAGAAGCTATTTTGGCCCAGTCAAAGATTTCAAAAGTAACTTATTTTCAAAATGGGTAGAATGAAACCTCAGTTCACGAATTTAATTCTTCCTGGAGGGTGTTAACCTAAATGTTCGTAAACTAAAACAATATTCTCCACAGTAATTAATCTAAGTAATTAATTAATCTATTAAGTAGATTAATTCTTTCCTGGATCACAGACAGAAGCAGACTAGAACTTTTAAAGTACTAAGTGCGTAAAAGATTTTGATGCCCCTCATATATTTCTACCAAGCCTTCAGTCTCGATCTTGCTTGTTTAAATTTCTTGCTCTACATTCCATGGTAAAATAGGCACCAGGACATTTTCGTGGGACTCCTTTTTCTTCATGCTCTAAGCACGCGCTTATTTTGTTCGATAGTTAATTCAGTTCTCATGGCAGATAATTGTTTTAAAAGCTTATGACAATACTACGGGCATAAGTTCATAACTCCAAATCATAAACAAACATAAATGGTCGTTACCATAAAAGGAAATCATTAAATATAAAAAAGATAATGTTAAATGGATAAAACAGACGAAAGCGTTCTTTCTCGCATACTTAATTGTTGATTTGGAATAGTTTCTCAAGTTCTCTGACGAAGTTTATTTGAATATGGCAAATAACACGAGGGCTGTCAGCTTAAAGGAAAGGACGTTTTCATGGAGGACTTTCTAAGAAAAACCGGCTCGTATTTACGTTACACGTGGGAAAACCTCAAGTATCTTCATAATCACAATCATATTTCTTGCTCTTAAAAACTGCTAAATGTCCACTCGGCTAATGAACAAATACCAACCTTTAGTCTTTAGAAGTACACGGTAAATACAAGGGTTATTGAAAGCAGTGATGAAAAAGAGTGACATATACTATATCCAAAATCAATGTTTTTATTATATTGTGGTTTACATAACTAGAAAAGATAATTCAAAAAGTTTCTTTCACTGGGAAGACTAGCATACAGCGGATTTCAGATCTTTAGCTTTCTTTCTGTGAGGTTTTGTGAAGATAAGTGTGCATCGAACACGTGTGGCCGATGTTGCAGATTTTTTTGTTCTCGAATGTAGAGGCGGTAACTCTCTCTTCACCACGGACACTTTTGAAAGAGTGACAGAGTATCACCCGATTTTGTTCATGAATATCATGGTTGGTAAAAAGAATTTAGCAAAATACATAATTTTTTTTAACACTGCTCTATCTTGAATAACGGGGAAAATGGAATAAGCACATTTCTTTCAGGTATTTTCTTTCAATATGATGCGTTTTTTTCGCCGGTTGCATAATGGCAGACTGCACATTGATCCGTGTTAAAGGGTGTTCCTTACTGCACATGCTCACTGGCAACTAAACCTTTCACAAGTTTGTTCAAACCAATTGCGGTTGACTGATGGTAAACAATTTAATTTAAATTAACTTGCGGAAATTTGTTTTACCCGTTTTTTATAGCAGGCCTGTCCAACCAAAATGCCTTAGCGAAGGAATTAGACGACAAGATTTAGCAAGCCGCTGAAATAAAATGGCTTTTGGAAATCTGTTTTATTCTGGCAGGATATGCATATGTACACACACACATATACATATAAACAATATGAATATTTATAATTACATTTAAGATAATAATAGTTATAATATTAATAGTATTTGAATTTTCACTTATTACAAATATTTAAACGAAATAAAATATTTTGATAAGAATTTATTGAAAAAATTCAAATATTTTCAAATATTCTTCAATATACGTCTTTGTTATAAATTAAAAGTTTTTTCACTTCCTTGCACAAAGTAGAAAGTATTGTAATCGCGAAAAATTTCGGGTATCATATTTCAACGAAAATATCTATTTTGACCGCTATCGAATGGAATTTAACTATGTTTTTACATGACATCTGTACGTAAGGACAGAATAAAGGACTCTTTCCCCCCCCAAAAAAAATTATAAAACTGATTTAAAATGAATTCTGAAGAGAAATTTTCGCGGCGTCTGTGCGTACGTACGTACGTGCAAATTTATCTCACATAATTCAAAAACGAGTAGCCTCAGAACGTTGAAATTTTGTATATAGGATTGCTATAACATGTACATGTGCACCTCCCATTTTGGTTGCAATTGGCCTCACCAAAATTATATAAATATATTTATATATATATCCACTCTGTTACCTGGCTGAGTGATCTCAGTTTCTTTACTCTTGTATGTTTGTAAATTGTACATTTTTTGCTTTAAAAATGATTGAATTATGTTGTTCTTATCTTTCGGTTAAGGTTTCTATGCCTTTAGTAAATCTGTATGCAATATTTTTAGAATTATCAACAATTTTAAAGTTGTTTAAGTGCCGCTAAGCCTAATAATTTTTTTGATGGCAACCATTGCTTGTTTACATTTGAAACAGCAGACTAGTGGATTTGTTGCCAATATAGAGAAACTTATATTCACAACAACAAAGATAACGCCTTCATTTATTATTGCGAATTAAATCATGTTTAATCCTTTCTGGAATTTTTCAAGGAAATAAGTGTTTAAGATTTATTTCGTAATTTTTAATGTAGATATTTTGAGTTTTTATGTATTTTTGCCTTGTCGCGAAGTGAGAACTGAATTAATTGAATGAGAAATACTCAATGGTAAGTGAAAAACTGTTTCTTTTCTGCTTTGTTTGCTTAATTTCTTTTATACATCATTCTAGCTTATTATAGTATTTGAATAGAACATGTGGCAACGATTAGATAATTCTATTCTTTAAATGGTGTAAATTTCTTCACTGCCTTTCATTCACTTCTGGCCTTAGTCGATACAGGCAAGCCGTTGCAGGCAAGTGCCCTCCATTGGAAAAATAAAATAAATAAAATATGTTCGTAGTTTCTCACCTTAAGTGCATTTTTGTAAGGTAATAATGATACAAAGGCTATACCATGTTAGTAAAAAAATGCTGTCCTTTTCCTAATTCATACTCATTTCTAGATGAGGTTCAGTTCCAATGTGTTAAGTAGCAAAAATATATAAGATTATTTTTAAAAACCAAAGGGCAATTTTCCAATTTCAATTTTAATTATAAAAGGCTTAATTTAGAAGTCAAACAACAAAAATCAGCGTTATATTTTCAAATTTTCCCAGGACTAGTTTCGATGGTTTTACCGAACCATCATCCTCAGCTGCAAAAGCGAAAATGAACGAGATAAGATATAATGATTAGATAATAATGGCTGGACCAGGGTAAATGAGAAAGAAATTTCAAGAATTCAGGAACTAACTGTATTTACATAATTTCTTTAACTGTAAAGTTGCACGTATTTTGCAGAAATTTAACTTTCGGGTCGTTTATTCTCCCATCAATAAAATGCAGAATTCCATACTCAAGAACCTCATTCCGGATATGGTGGTGGTGTATTTAATTATGGCAAAGCACACGAGGGCTATCTGCCTAAAGGGAGGGATGCCTTTCGTGGAGGACTTTCTAAGGGAAACTGGCTCGTATACACGTTACACATGGGGAAAACCACGAAAACGCCCATGCAGCCAGCCCGTTCGCGGGATTCGAACCTCAGACCGAACTACCAGTGTTCAGCGTCTTTACCGCTCGGCCGCTGTTGGGCCTCATTCCGGATATGAATTCCTGGATACTTACAGGATTCCTTGCCAGTGTGGTTTAATTTACATTGGTCAAACACAGCCTTAAAATTTCGCTTTAAGGAACATGAGGCACATGTTAGAAAAAAGGAAATGCAGAAGTCTTCTGTTGCCCAACATTGTTGGTCCGAAAATCACACTTTCAATTTTTCTGCTGCCAAAATTATTTAAAAAAACATATTCCATTGATGAATTGGATTTCACACTCAAAAAACTCTTTCTGTTCTAGTTAACGATCCTAATTACAATCCATCTTTGTCTTCGGCCTTTAAAGAAATTATGTTTTAGTTCTGGTTTCATCCACAGATTATGAAAGTAGCTTGTCTCCTGTCCAGGCTTTCTTATCTAATCATTATATCTTATCTCGCTCATTTGCGCTTTGGCAGGTGAGGATGATTGTTCGGTAAAATCATCAAAACTAGTCTTGTGAAAATTTGAAAATATAATACCGCTGATTTTTGTGGTTTAATTTTAAACGAATATTTGTTCGGCGTGTTATTGTATCTTAATTACGAAAGGCAGATAACTTACCTCGAAGTATCTTATGCCAAACTGCAGGATAGGTTCTCCGTTATCAATGGGCACCTCCCATCGTATTTCATATCGGTCCGGATATTGTGAAATGGGGATTGTGTCTTTTTCTGCGATAATTGCCGGAGGCTCGGGAACAGTTTCTTCTGGCATAAGGTACTCCGTTTGCTTCCATGGACCTTCACCAACCACATTGCGAGCAGCGACGCTAAACTGATACTTAGTCCTTGGTTTCAAGTCACCGAGAATGTGCGGAGTATCTAGAAAAGGAAATAATAGCTGTATTAAAGGCGGCACAAATCTTAAATTACCACATATTTGTAACATATGCATTTTTGGTTGATGTAAGTCTGACAATTGAATCACGTGTTTGCACCTCGGTTCATTTACAGATGATTGAGAGAATTAACACCTATTGAATGGGAAAAGAACAGGTAAGGTTGGTATGGTTACCAAAGAGTATTTACAGATTTTATGCACTGGTTGCAAATGATGCCCTGCGAAGTTTCAGAGATCAGTTTAATTGCCGACAGAAGGTTTTTATAAGATGATCATAGTTACTTTCTGATTACATTAATGTAAAGAAAACTTACCTGCAGTCCACTCAACAGTAATTGCTGTGTTTTCAGGATCTCCAACTTTTTTATACCGCATTATGTAAGTAGTAATTGGCAACCCTCCATCGTTTCCTGGGCCCATAAAAACGAAAGTGATAGTTGTTGAGGTAACTTTATCAAAAACAATTTGTGTAACTTGTCCAGGAGTAGCTGAAACAGAAATGAATTCATTTAGGAATGTTGGACAATTACTTAAGGCAATGAGAAATAATAACATAAAACTGCGTCATTTGATTATCGCGACTTGAACTTCTGTTATTATTTGATATTATTCTGTTATTCTTCTTCTTCTGAGATTAAATGAATATAAAATTTTTTCACATATGTTCACGAACTTCCTATTTTTCCTAATACATTTTAATTCCTCTTTCAATTTTTAAATTACTTTTCACGTACGCTGCGAAAAAAAAAGGGGGCGATTTTTTATCTCCCGTTCTATTGGGTTGATTGACGAAATTCAACTTGCGTTTTTCATGTTTCGAAAGCGCGATTTAGGATATATTAAATTTATATATAGCATCGATCTAACACAGCTATTTTGACACAAAATCGGAATTTTTCTGAAATGACATGCTAATTTTTTCCATATTTAAATTCTACGACTCAAATTATGCTAAATTGCCAAGTTTTGAATCGCACGAATAGTTTTTAAAAAATAAGCTCTCAAAATTTTAGCCCCGTTATTTTAACTGAATTTGATACATATTTATTAATATCTATTTTTTATTAAGCTTATTTGATTCTTCCTTTCACATTTCGAAATTTAGGTTCATTTTAAATAAAATTCTCCAATTTTTTACGATTTATTTTTAAAATATGTATTTTAAATAATTTTTATAATTTTTTCGAAAGCTTTTTTTATCATAACATATAATAATTTTACCATCAACTTAAAGTAGATGTGTTTCTAAGGATACCTGCAAAAAATTAATTATATTATTAAAATTCTTTATTCAAAATTTACATTTCGACGCGTTTCGAAGTTTGGCATATTCATTATAAGCGATAACAATGCCATATGTGGTTTATGCACTTTTAAAGTTATTTGAAAGTGTGAATGGCGAAATTTTTTCCCCTCGTGTACAATGGAAAAAATCTGATATGTATGGAATATTAAATTGGACGCATTTTTTCTTGCATTTCAAACTGTCTGGATAGAATTAAATCTAATTCCTCGATAGAGCAACCACAATTAAAATAAATGCGCTCTTTTAAAACTCACTATATTTTTTTTACCAAGGCGACGCTCTGGGGCTAAGTTCACTTAAGTGCGTTACAATTCATTCATTTTATAACTCAGAACGCACAAAGTTTATATCATCCGAAGAATTATCGAATCGTTGCCATATGTTCTATACAAATACTATAATAAACATAAAACGATGTATAAAAGAACAACCAAAAAAAAAAGTTTTTTTACAGACGATTCAGTATTTCTCATTCAATTAATTCAGTTCTTATTTCGAACCAAGGCAAAAATACATAAAACCTCAAAATATCCACATTAAAAATTACAAAGTAAATCTTAAACACTTATTTCTTCGAATAAATTCCAGAATGGGTTAAGCATGATTTAATTCGCAATAATAAATGAAGGCGTTATCTTTGTTGTAGTGAAGCTGTTTTTTCTAGAAAGGCAACAAATCCACTATTCTGCTAAGTTTCAAATGTAAACAAACATGGCCGCTATGGTAAAAATACTTAGGCTTACCCGCACTTGACAAACATCGCATGCAGATTTTAATTTGTTGCTTTTAAATTGTTGATGATTCCCCAAATATTGCATGCAGATTTACTAAAGGCATAAAAACCTTAACCGGAAGATAAGCACAACATAATTCAATCATTTTTCAAGAAAAAAATGCAGTTTACAAACACATAAGAATAAAGAAACTGAGATCACGGAGCCGAGTAACAGAGTGGATATATATATATATATATACCTTTGATGCGGCCGATTGCAACCAAAATAAGAGGTGCACATTTACATGTTATAGCAGTCCTACATACAAAATTTCAACGTTCTGAGGCTACTGGGTTTTTGAGTTATGCGAGATACGTACGTACGTACAGACGTCACGAAAAATTATCTTCAGTATTCATTTTAAAACAGTTTTATAATTTTTTTCGGGGAAAAAGAGTCCTTTATTCTGGCCTTACGTGCTGATGTCACGCAAAAACATCGTTAAATTACATTCGATAGCGGTCAAAATGGATATTCTCCTTCAAATATGATACCCGAAAATTTTTCGCCATTACGGTACTTTTTTTTTTTACTTCGTACAAGGTGGTAAAAAGGAAGGGAAAACAGGATGCTTTAATTCAGGAGTTTGCCAAGTGAATTATTCTTGACGAAAACTGAAATATGGAGGGTAAAAACGATATGCTATTTCAGTAAATGTCCGATTTTTATTCAAAATACCCATGTTAGACTAATGATATATATAAATCTAATACATATCGTAAGTTGCGCTTTTGAGACCCGAAAAACGAAATTTGAATTTCGTCAATTGGCCTAGTAGAACAAGAGAAATAGAACTGTTCCCCCCTTTTTTTTTCCTTCGCAGTGTACATTTTACTGCTTACTTTACCCAAAAAGTGATCATTCAAAATAATCCTAGTCAATCCAAACCAAAATTTTAACATGAAAATTTATAACCTTCCGTTTTGCGAAAGTGTTTTGCTTTTGGAATGAAAAAAAAGTTCATTTTTCAAACTTATATAAAGTAATTGGAAGGAAATTAACTCTCAGGACTGGATAATAAATATAACCGAGTCTATGATTTAGGCAACACTTCAGAAAAGCTTTTCTACTGAAAAAAAAAAGTCTGATTTCATATGATGTATACTCACTAGCTTCTTCCAAAATTATATCGACAGAGCTTTCGCCGAGAATATTGCGAGCTTCACAAGTGTATGTACCAAAGACTTCATACTGTGCTCTTTTTTCTGTCAACACCTGAAATATTCACAAAAGGTTATTATAAAAAGCAATCCACAAAAATTCCTGTGATGTATGCGTTATCGACAAAGCATGAAACGCCGGCATTCTATAGAATGCCTAGGCATTGTAATATAATGGCATTGTAATATAATTTTAGGCAAAGTATGAAATACGAAAATTATTACATACTTTCCCTAGGCATTGTATATAATACCTACGCATTCCATAGAGTAACAAATGCTATTCAGGCAAAATAATATGAAAAATAATAATAAATATGAATAAAAGATTACGATAAGGCTGTTATTTATCAGACATGCTTTGCTCACAAATACAAATGTTATTTTGAAAAATTAATGAAAGAGTGCCATTAAAAGAACTGTTCTTCAAATGTTAAAAAAAAAAAAAAAAAAAAAAAAAAAAAAAAAAAAAAAAAAATAGTGAAATGATCTTGATACAACATAATAATTTTGTATTTTCTATCTGACTGAGACTGGGAATCGCCAAGATCTACTTGACAACGGAAATTAAATTTAGAAACAATGCTCTTTTTAATAACTTTTTGTTTTTTTTTCTGGTAGGGCTCACAAAGGTTGTTCTACAGTCCAATATCATTACGGGTAACGTTTTCATATTTGGTTGAAAGCTCTTTCAACATTCTGTCACGTCGTCGTCCTTATCCAGTACTCAAATGAATTTTTATTTAGTACGGGAAAAAACTGAACATCGGTGACGTAACTAACGCCTTCTTTAACAGGATAAATGAATACAATTTTATTTTTCACAAACATCACATCCTATCCTTAATGACTTAAGGGCAGATAGGCCGAGTTTTTACTCAGACGCTAATGATTTACAGCTGTCACAGTATGTACAAGATACATAAGGGAACTATACATTGCTAGGACACCCACCTGAAACTAACCATTGAGAGACCAGATAAACTTGCTGCTAGTAACTCCACCCACGATGATGATGCCATATTGCAGTAAGTTTGCTGTTCATATGTTAAAGTATGTCGACAGAATATACTACAAATCAGCTCATCGAAAGTATTTCAGGTATTGTAATGCTCAACAAGCCGACCTATCCAAAATGTTTGAGTTATGACGTCTATGCAGCTTCTTAGCCATAACACTTCAAAAATAATTCTAGTAATATCTGAATGTAAGTCTTCCTAAAATCATTGTGGGTGGAGGCCATGCTTATCTGGATTGTTATTGGCCGAATTCAAGTAACATTGTCTTAACAATGTACCATTTGCTTATGTGCATCTGGAATAGGCGCTGTTAGCGATGTAATGCTAACGGAGTTAAAGAATTTTCTGACCATTCAGCATTATGCAGGGTCAGCATTTTGCCTCGCAATTCTGCCACCTCTAAATTCTGTTGCCTCACCGGCTGTGCAGCCTGAAGCGTGTTATGTTGTATCTCGAGCAAAGAAGCTTAGGTTTCTTGAATCAGAAACACATTCCTCTCATGTCATAATTAAATTATCTGCCAGATTTCTCATACTGACTTCGTTATTTCCGTTTATGTTCTGTGGGCTCAATGACATCAGATACACTGGTGTGGAAAAATTAAGGACGAGACGGTTTTTTTTCAATATAACTTTGTACAAAAGCTTTTCAAATCAACACATTTAATACCGTAAGATTCCCAATACGTAAGGACATGAGTAACTGCAAGCAAACACTTACTAAAAGAGAAATAAGAGGATAAAAAGCTCCGGAATCGTTACTGGTGGTAAGGTACGAGCTGCCAAGCGTCTGCCTAGAAAATCCCATACATGATCGATGGGATTGAGATCCGGAGATCGTGCCGTCCAATCCATACGTTCAATATCCTCACTCTTTAAGAGCTGTTCGGCAGCTACTGTGCGATGACATGGTGCATTGTCGTCCATGAAAAGGAACTGCGGATCCATAGCGCCTCTAAAAAGACGCACATATGGGAGAAGAATCTCGTTACAATAACGGGTCCCGTTGACTGAACCTGCGTCGAAGATGTGAAGGTCTGTACGACTACCAAGCATGATTCCTCCCCAAACGAGAACACCGCCACCTCCATACCTGTCCCTTTCAATGATGTTCGAGGGATGATTGCGGCTTCCCCGCTCTCTCCAGATGAGTATGCGATGAGAATCGCTACTCAGACTGAATCTGCTCTCATCTGTAAAGAGTACTCGTCCCCATTCATTGTCTCTCCAATTCCGGTGTTCCCGGCAACCACAGAGAACGCCTTCTCCGATGGGCAGGCGTTAGAGGTACACCACCGTACAGGGCGTCGTGCAAACAGACCACCACCGCGCAGTCTTCTGGCCACGGTTAAAACGCGATATCGGTCGTCCAGTCGCCTGTGTCGTGTGTCTAGCGATTTCTTCCGCTGTCTGCCGCCTGTTTCTTCTGGCCTGTAAGGCAATATACCGGTCATCTGCGGGTGTGTGTGGTTCCACGTGGACGACCACTACTAAACCCCCGGATAGCTGTTCCTGTAGTTTGAAATTGTCTCTCCAAAAGTCGTGAAAACGATGCTGTGAGCAATTCCGAACTCTGCAGCCACACTTGTCACACACTGCGGCCTTCCTCCAACTTCCCAATGATTCGACCTCGGGTAAAGTAAAAGCATCCAGATGTCGTCTAACAGATTGATTATTCGCCATTTCTCGCTGAGGCAGCAACTCGGGTGTGATTTTAACTGCTATACGGCGTGCAATCTCTTTGCCAGAAATACTGATCTTACACCGACAACATGCTTAATATACTACTCAGACACTCCCCCATTACGTCTACCTGCATATCTGAGCATGTGCTACCGTACATCACCTTACTTAATCTCCTGATTGGTCTTTCTGTCCACTCTGCCTCTTCGTTCAGCTGATATGCTAATTTTTCGACTTCGTCCTTAATTTTTGCACACCTAGTGTAGTTCAACCCATCTGACCACCTGCCTGTGACAGATACTAAAAAGACATTTACTTTCAAGAATGTCAGAGGTGATGGAACAAGCGTATATTTGTTCTAATGGATGTTATTTCAAAGTTGATTACGCAGTAATTTTCTGATTTCAAACATACGTTCTGGAAATTTTTTTCAATTAGAAGCATGTACGTTATAGTTTTGGTGAGAGCATTTAACTACTTTTGGGATAAAAATACGTAATAATCAAATTAAAATGGAGAGTTTAGGGGCTTTCTGTATTTCTGTACTCAGTATCATGTTAGTTTTTCACAATATTCAGTTGTGTACTTATGTATGGATATCCTGTCTGCAAGTACTACGAAAGAAAATGTAGATGCATTGTTCAATTAATTTGTAAAACAACTCCAGTTTAAGTTTGCGCATAGAACTAAATTATGTAGGAATTTGTTATCTTAGTGATAACAGGTACACAATATTTTAAATATTTTTACATAAGAGTCAGGCACATGGAAAGTAATCTGCGTTAAAATACGTTAGGGCGCTAGGATTTTTTTCCAATAATTTAATAGGTTACATCTTTCCTTCATGCAGGACCAACGACTTTACAAAAGCCCCATAAATATATGACAGTTGTGCCAGGATTAGCATCTGCATGTAGACATATAGCAAGTCCAGAAAATCCACGGCAGTTAATTTTTCAGGCAGAGTCCTCCTTTCTTTACTTTATTTTCTTTACCTTACACAAGTTTCTGCCTATTCTAAAAGCGATTCTTAACAGTCTTTTGATTGCTTCTTTGCTTAATTTTAAGTAGTTCCTAACAGAATCCTTTCCCCGAACAACAACATCCAAGCTTAAATGTAGACTTTATGAGGCTCTTAGCCGTCTATTCGGCTGCGTTCCCGGAGGCATATTTTACAAGTGCACATCTGTGTAGCCACCGAGGGTGTGGCTTCTAGGATGGACCAATGGACATCCAGTAATATTTCTGTCATGTCACATGACCTTTCGCGTGCTTTAAGATTTAAGCAAAATGGTTGAAAATATTTTGCCATGCAATTTTCCGTACAAAATAATTAAAGCCTCGTCGATTTCTTCTGAAAATTTTCATTGCAAAGTTAGATCAAATATAAGCAAAAGAAGATTTCACTACCTGGTTGAAAGAATTTAAAATAAATGCAAACACATTTTGGATACTCCGCAAAAATATCCATGTGAAATATTACTTAATAAGTGGTAAATAAGATAAAGAAAGAAATATGTGATAAATATCTGAGCCCAAATACTTTCTTTACATACAACTATGCATATGAGAAAAATATTTACACCAATTATATATGTAAATAGAAGTCAGCACTTTTTATTGCAGTCTATATGAAAAATTAGCGTGATAAAAATCGCGAAAGTGAAATGTTAGCGATTAATTAAACTCATGAAACGAATGCTCTACGAAATTTTTTTCTACTACGCCATAAAATTTTTACCGCGAAACAAATGCAAATGAAAACGTAAACGACATACGCTCACATACATGAAGATTTAGCATCACAAGAGCAATAAAAGCTCATTGGTCCATTTTTGAAACCCCTCCCTCAGTGGCTACGGTGATGTGCACTTGTGAAATATGCTTCCCGGAGCAGAGTGGAGCAGAGAGTAAGTAGATGGTTTCTGCCAGGAAGATGGTGAGGTTAAAGGCCAGGTCTGTGGTCTTCCTTGGTGGAGCTCACTCGCTCAATAACTAACTCACCAGTTTTTTTTTTTTTTTTTTTTTTTCACAATTTCATCAAATTTCCCGAATAAGTGGAACGTTTCTTCATCGTTGAATATCTTCTTGGTGGCGAAATGTTTGTCCTCCAATGTTGACGCAAAAATCTAGTCGACGGGCGTCATCTTCCGGCTTTAATTGTTTCAGGAGCTACGCATGTTACAGTTTGAAATGCTTGACGCAAAATCTTCCACACAATTTTTTATGGCATTCTGAACATCTGGTCAATTGACAGGACGAAAACGTATGAAATGAGCTCGATTATCGTCTGGAAGTGTGTCGTGTCTCCAAAGGGGCACATACTGAATATTTGTAGAGGGTGTATAAACTTGGTGAGTTTGCGGTTCTTTTCATACATCTTTCATGCGCGTACATAAATACTTTTGAAAATATATCCTTTTCCAAACAAATAAATCATTTATGCTAGTTCTGTATGTTAAATAAAAAATTTAATTTCTAAACCACACCTGACCTACTTTAATTCTTTCTAAAAATGCTTCATCACACTCAAGTTAAATAAATCACAATAAGAAAAAACATATTTCTTGAAAGATGCTCTTATATTCTATTTGGTTTACATTTCATATGGATTTGTAAAAGAAATTTTATAATGAAAATATTACACATAAAAAGAAACCGTCAACACAAAATGGTTCAGAAAGAAATTCTCGCACTGCTGCCATGGATTTCTGAACTATATAGTTGAAAAAATGAAAGGCTACTGACCAACAGACTGCTGTAAGAAACTCCTCCATAAAATTTGTATCTGTCATCTCCGTGCTCAACGGGCTCGTTTTGGAATTTCCACGTGATGGTAGCATTGGGATTCGCTTCAGCAATACAGGACAGATTGGCCGGATTGGCTGACCAGGCTTTCACTCTCGTTAAGGGCGTTAAACTCATGTCAGGTCGAACTGAAAAGCAAGAACATATGCTGTGTTAAACAATACCTTATTTCGATGAATATATAGATTCCTATAATCCCTTACTTTAAAACAGGCACTTCAAGGTCTTTACGACTCTCCCTCATTTTCATGCATGCTGTCACAGTACTTATTTTCTTCACCTCATTCGAGACTCCCAATTCAAACCCACTTTCATTCTGCGCTTTTCTCGAAGCGAAACACATTAAACGGAAATGAAGTGAAAAAAAAGCAATTGGAGAACTCGTCCATTTGTGCAGCTGTGGTTACCATGGTTACGATGCAAGCTAGGCGGAAAGATATGATCCTGAAGTGCCTATACTAAAGTAACCTGTTACAGCATTTTTTATCTATCTCGGGGAAAAAAAACTAGCAATTTCCAATCAGACTGTTCTTTCACAACAGTATGGACAATATATAGTCGATAATCATTTTTCGAGCGAATCTTCTTCACGAATCTTGAGTTTCTTATATTAGCGATCCACCCATTTTCGCTATTTTCGTATTCGCTGTTTCCGTTAACAACGTTAGTCTCTAACTGACGAAAGTACTTTAAATCCTAATTTTCGTTACTCTCAATATTCGTATAACGTTCTTTATTGTTAGGACCAGAGCAGTCGCTATAATGAGCATCAATTATATTTAAGGAAATACTGGGAATCTGAACAAATTAATAAGGAAGAAAAATTTTAAGAGTAGAATAATAAGAATTTTCATGCGAAAAATGGATCCAAAAGTTAAGCTACGTCATTAAAAAAAAAAAAAAAAAAAAAAAAAAGAGAAAAATAATTTTTTGGAAATGAAGGGGAAATAATTACAGACTAACGACAGTGACGTTCATAGTTTGTAAAACGACCGATTTCTGGAAACATGAACAACCTATTTCCTGAAACCATGAACCTGAAAACATGAACAACAAGTAACCTGTATTTCTTTAACTATTCGCTATCTGACCTTGGTTTCGGCCATTCAGTATTTCTTGTTTCGCTTCCCTTAAGGACTAATGAGAGAGTTATTTCAACGTGTTTTTTTTTTTTTTTTTTTTTTTTAAATTCTGCTAACTTCTTTTAACTACTATACAGCTATACCGAATTTTCATCTGGGTATTCCGTATATTACACACCTGATTTGAAATTTAATACTTTCTAAAAGGCAAATACGATTGTAATAGATTATAGCAGAGTACACGAAGGCTGCCTTACGAACAGGAGAGATGCCTTAATGGTGTTTTTTTTTAAGAGAAACTGGGCAATATATTTTTTTTTTTATTTGAACACAAACTTCCCGTGCACTACAAATGTACAACACGAGACACTAGCTTTACAAATCGGAAAAAACAACGAAAACTTTCATGCGGCTAGCTCATTCATTAGAATTTAAACCTAGCTCGAATTACCAGAGCTGAGCAGCTTTACTACCCGGCTTCTAAAAGGTAAAGGAATACAATGGTGATTTCCAGTTTTTAATCATGCGAAATAAAGTGCAATATAGACCGGTATCCTTGAGACTTCGGCCATTCCAGAAGTTTTTGCCTTTTATTAGATCTTCAGTTTAAATCTAGCAACATGATATTGCAGACATAGCAGCATTAAAACTTGGCGTTTATTGTTTACGTGAGATAGAAGAATGCTCACCCCTCAAACAGGGCTGGCGCCAAAGCCGGTGCAGCCTCACCAAGTGACCGAATTTAGGGCAGGAAAAATTTTAGAATTTAGAGAAGCACCCAGCAACAAAACTTAGGGCTGGCAAAACTTTTAGAATTTATGAGAGGAACATGTCACCAGAATTTAAGTGTGGCAAATTTTTTAAGATTTAAGAAGTACCGCAACAGAATTTTAACACCAGCAGAGCAGAAAACGTGATAGTGGGTGCCATCAATCTCCTAAACCTCAATTAGTCGGTAAGAAAAACTGCATTTACGGCACACCTGCTCTCTTTTATTGAGTATTAGCGGAAATACCCGATGCCAGTCTGATGAGATATGAAACCCACAAAATATATCGATACAAAAATAAGCTAATTCTCTCTCATTATACCAGCAAGAATGGTACGCAGTTTTTAATCAGTTTCGTCTTTCTAATCAAATGGTCGTAAAAGCTAAGTTCCATCCAATATTTCACCTATATTCAATTTTAGTCGATTCAATGTGGCAAAAAATGGATCATGATTGATCAGAAGTCAATAACGCTAACAAACACACAAACAGACATTCTTTATACGTAGATTTTGTAAAATTTACAATTTTTTAATTCAAAATCCATGATTTGAAAACAAGCACTAGCAAGACATTCTGGAATAAAGCATTTTTATGTCCAACGCGTGAGACTGTTGCCACTCGGAAAAATGAGTGCGAAAAATAACGCTTTCAGAGTTTTTAATTATTATTTCGGCTGGTTTAAGTCATACGAAAACAGGAATAGTAGAAATGGCTTTCCACGGATATTTGGAATCAGGAATAATGTATTTAATGTTTGGCAATGCCATTTTATTTCATCGTAAAATTAAAAAAAAAATTAACAAATTCTAGTATTTAAAAACGAGCAGTGGCAATAACTTTCGAAAATAAAGCAGATTTTCATCTCCAGCTTGCGAAACTGTTGCCATTTGGAAAAAGGAGGACGAAAATGATCGTTTCTCCGAGTTTTTAATATATCTGATTTTAGCTAATTTGTTTTCAGAAAAAAATTGGACGTCGACCTTTTCCAGGACTCGGAAAAGAATTGTAGAAAGTTTGGTGTCGATAGCTGTAGTAGTGACTGAGTTATTAGAGAACAAACACACAAACTTTCTTTATATACATAGATTATATTCTCTATCCCTAGATTTTGTAATGGGGGAATTTTATTTATTTATTGATTTATTTTCTGTTCATTCAGTGCTCCGGATTTCCAACTTTGTACTGTATAAAATATTGGAAGTTTAATGAAACTTAACAAATACGAAGCCAAAATGAAAAAACGGCGAAATGCAAATAACTTTACCAATGATTCCTTCATATTTGCATGTAATTTCGTGTTGAAATTATTATAAATTAATGCAGTGTATAGATGTTCTTTGAAGAGCAGTAACGAAAAAAACTTGCAAGAGGTTAAAGAAAAATGGAAATTTCTTAAGGTAATTCTCTTTATAATCAGAAAGAAAAGTTTAAAAACTCTTATTAAAAATGAATAAAAAGTAAACAAATAAATTTAATTAAGACACAATAACACGCCGAATAAATACTAATTTCGAAGTCAAACAATTTTTTAAATATAACGCTGATTTTTGTTGTTTGACTGAAATTAGTAAATAAATTTAAGCTAAATGAAGAGTTGCTGACAATCATCTTATACTGGACTTCCAGAAGCGCCGGATTTTTGACTTTGTACCGTATAAAATATTGTAAATTTAATGAAAATTCACAAATACGAGGCCAAAATGAAAAAAAATGGCGAAAGGAAAAAAACGTTATCGTTCATATTTTAATGTAATTAGGAGTTGAAATTATTATAAATTAATGCAGTGTACAGATAGATGTTCTTTGAACAGCAGTAACGAAAATAACTTGCAAGGGGTCAAAAAAAATGGAAATTTCTTAAGATGATCCCCTTTATAATCAGAAAGAAAAGCTTAAAAATTCTTATTTAAAATAAATAAAAATGTAAACAAATAAATTTAAGCTAAAAGAAGAGTTGTTGATAATTATCTTACACTGGACTTCCAGATGTCCAACTTTCTCTGCATTTCCAGCTGCATTTGTAGCGCTGCAATAATACAAACCGTCATCTGATCGTTTCACATCGGAGATTCGAAGCCGAAGCACTTTATAGTCGTCGCCTTCTTCGATGTCTTCCAATTCCATGCGATCATTCTACCACAAAAAACAAAACAAAAAAAAAAAAAAAAAAAAATATTATTTCTAACTGATGAAAAATTATTCGGCATAGCTTGTGCAAATGTGCCGCATATTCAAATGTGTATAAAAAATAAAATAAATGCCATTAATCCATTCCAGGTAAATGCCATGAATCTGTTCCAGATCCTCGGACGCATGCAAACGAACTTTCTTCCAGTTAAAAGGTAAAGGCTAAATAACTAATCCGTTCTCGTAAAAAATCCTATTGTTATAACACTGCATAATACTAAAACACTGTTAGGAACTGTGTATTTAGTTAGATATTTTGAGTAGAATTATAATTACAATTGCTTTATTTTCCTGTGCAATGCAACACGAGACATTTTAAGAGAAAGTTACGGCGAAAAGTTAAAAATAAAGGAGCACGTGCGTTTAACATTTAATAAATAGATATCTTGTAAGTTATATTTAAATCGAATAAATGTAATTGACCACTATATTAACTGTAACCGTAATTCTACTCTAATTTCTCTAACTAATTTCTCTAACTCTACTCTAATTTCTGGAAAGCAAAAGCTTTCCAGAAATCTCGAGAAGCACAAATTACTAGAATCTCACGCGACCGATTTAAAGATATAAAAATGCAAACAGAGAACATCTCATCTCAGCAGTTGTTTACTTAGCAGCTGTAATTTTTTGTTGATCGGATTAGCCTTCTCTGCGCTGTGGATTGTCTTCTATTTAATGTATAGCTTAAAGTATAGCTACTGATTGTATTGTATGATATTGTACAAATATCTCTCAGGAATATCCCAACGTTTTGTTGTATTTCTTGTGATAAGAATAAATGTTGTTAACTTTTTATCGGACTTATGCATTCAATCTGTTACGAACCCGTATGCATTCAACAATAGTAGAAGTTGAGTGAAATATATGGAGTACATTAAATGAACTCTGCAAGCGATACTGTACGTAATTTTTTTGCTATCCAGATCTAAAGCAATGCTTTCAATGTACTCCAAGCCAGGGGTTCTCAACCATTATAACTAGCGGAACCACTGTTTTAATTTTTACAAAACTGATTTCTTTTTCCGTTTATAAATTTCAAAAATGAATGAACATGTGTTCTTGCATCATTTAAAACCTTTTTGTAACTGGAAGCATATGCAAGCATGACCAACAGTTTTGAAAATAAAAGCCAGAAGAAAGAAACCTAAATGCTCACAGTGCAATAACATTAGAACTTAGATTTTTAATGCTGAATAAATTTTCTTTGCATATTTAGTGCTAAATAAAATTTTCTTTATATATTTTAGTGCTGAATAAAGTTTCCTTTGTGTAAGGCATTGTTAAATAAAATTAGCTTTGTATATTTTAATGATGAACAAATGTTTTTCGTTTATTCAGCGCTAAATAAAATTTTCTTTGTATATTTTAATGCTGAATAAAATTTTCATTTTATATTTTAGTGCTGAATAAATTTTCCTTGTATATTTCAGTGCTGAATATAATTTTTCTTGTATATTTCAGTGCTAAATATAATTTCCTTGTATATTTTAATGCCGAATATAATTTATTTGGTACATTTTAGGGCTGAATAAAATTTCCTTTGTATATTTTAATGCTGAATAAACTTAACTTTGTATATTTTAATGCTGAATAAAGTTTCTTCATTTATTTAGTGCTCAATAATTTTTCTGTATATTTTAATGCTGAATAAAATTTTCTTTTATATTTTAGTGCGGAATAAATTTTTCTTGCATATTTCACAACTGAATATAATTTTCCTTGTATGTTTTAGTGCTCAATAAAATTGTCTTTGTATATTATAATGCTTTTTTTCGTGCTTTTTCTTCAAGTGCTTGTGCATTTTAGTGCTGAATGTAATTTTTTTGGCGCTTTTTCTTTAAGTGGTTGTGTATTTTAGAAAGAAATGTAATTTTCCTTGTATATACTAGGTCTGAATAAGATTTTCTTCGTATATTTTAGTGCTGAAGAAACTGTTCCTTTAATTTATTAATATGTAACATACACAGAATAAGAGGATGTTTTGGTAATACAGATAAATAAATACTCTACCTGTCCGCTTACAATAGGTTCCGAATTTTCTTTTCTAATAACTAAAGACGGCCTTGGTATACCTTCAGCTCTGCATTCCAAGATAGCGCTTTTTGTAGTTTCCGTTGTTTGATTATCGAATTGCACAACCCGTGGACGAACTGAAACAAAAGAAAACATTAACTGATTTTAGTTATGACAGTAACTGACAATGTTATGACAGACATTGGAAGTAATTAATGATATCTATTTATGTATATGTAAATTATATAATAAAATATTTATGTATATGTAACATAATTATATACACTACTTATGTATAACATACGCTATTCACGCGCTGACGTTTGAGGCAGAGTTGGGCAAAACCAGTGCAGTACAATTCCAAATATCCGAACTCCGACTATCCGAATCGTTGATTATTCGAATCGCTTTCAGAATTTCAGAATCAACTGAAGAGGAGAAGGAAAAGGAAGCTCAAGAAAAGGAAAGGGACGAGAGAGGAGAAGATGAGGATGACGTGCCACTTGAAGATTTAAGAAACATTCTTTCAAAAATTCCTAGGTGTTCAGAAGTTAGTGCTGAGGATACAGCAGAATGGATGGCGTGTAATTCGTCAGACCCTGAGTTTCAAATTCTAAAAGAGGATAAACTTATTGAAAGTGTGACAGAAGAAGATGACCTTAATGTCGAAGTCGAAGCAGACACGGGACCATCAGCTAGTGAAGGGTTTGCCGGCCTTGAAACTGCGTTGCAGTGGATGGAGCGTCAGCCCGAGTGTGACCACATGCAACTTTTCACTGTCAAGCGGATACGCGACTTGGCTGCCCGAAAACGGACGAAGACAGTTAAACCGCTTACTTTGACCAAGATGTTCAGCAAGCAATGACTTTCAGCAGCACTTGTAAGTACTGTACACTACGCTATATGACACGTACGTAAAAGTGTTGCCTTTTCATTTTAATTCATTAAAACCTCTTTTTGTTTAAAAATGGTTTTTTCTTCCATTTTCAACATACGGCATTTAATTAAAGTGTACGTAGACCCTTTCTTTGGGAAAAAAAAAAAAAAAATCCGTTTATCCGAATGGGGTCAGTTCTCAACTGATTCAAATAATTGGAGTTCTAGTGTACTTTATGAATCAGATCCGTTCTCTCACTGTGCTGAATTGGTTCTATTATACGCCGCAACACTAAGAGCAGAAACATTGATGAAAAGGATCGGAAACTGGGAGTGGACCAAGTACGGCGTGCGGTATCAAGTACGGTATACGGTACAAAAAGATTGAAAGAGCGGTGGAAGCGGGAGAACCGAATCAATCGAACCGCCACTCCCTGGACCGGTTTCTCTCAATTGTAGTTTTGAAATTCCTTAACCTCCTTGCTATACAGAACCAACAATAAAATTCTAGACTAAAAAAAATGTTAAAATAAAAATTAAACTAATTTTTCTTTCTCCTCTGAAATGCAAATCGAATATTCCTGGCAGCCTTCCACAAGAGTTCTCTGTCGCTAAGCTCTAAAGGAGCTACTGCTGTGTTTTATGGAATCACCGTTCGCTCATTCAGTAAAGTGAACTGGTTCTGTGAATCAGTTTAGAAGCGGATCGCCTATCCGGAGTTTGGGGTATTACGTCGGCATTTTCCAAGAAGCAGCATGAAAAAAAGGTCATTTTCACGCCTTTGTTTTCTTGGAGTATTTCGGGAAATAACGCAACATCCTGGTATAGTTCGACCGCCTCATCCGCGACCATGAGCGCAAACACGCATGCGCCATTCGGACCGAATTATTCTCAAAATAGGGTGGAAGGATGGGGACATTCTTTCCCACCAGCATAGCTCTTTCCGGAGATCTTTCACGTCGCAGCAAGTAATACCTCCCATTTTGGACGAGTCTGTGTGTTTTGGCAGAATGCCCACCAGGGCTGCGCTTGAGACGGTCGAACTATAATCTTCTCATCAAAAAAATACAAGACTAGATATATTGAAAACAGCCAGTTTAGAACATGGACAGTTACTTACATTACAATGAATCCTCGCCTGAATCTCCAACGAATTCGGATCTCTGATCAGGGAAAGGCCTCCGAAGAACCTTAACTTTTAAAGCAAATATACCTCTATATGCAGGGATATTAAAAAGCAACTTTGTATTCTGGGAGGATGATCAAACTGAAACATGCGGTTTGGGAGAAAAAATATGTAAAACATTTGCAACCCGAACGGCTGCATCTCGCCTTATTGAAACAGAACTTAAAGGACTTTCGAATTTTATTTCAAGCCTCACGGAAATTTTGGATGAGATAGATGAAAATGTAGTGTTACCAAAAATTAAACGCTTAAGACGTGGTCTTCAAACAGTAAAAGCTGAAAAGGAGGAAGTTGAAAAATGGTCTGCATTGCTGGTGTTAAAGTTTATTGCGGAAATGGTCTTCCAAGAATCAGTCCGAACTTATATTTGGCACTTAAGACTTTTCGGACAGTTTTTTTTATTATTTTAATGTCGGGCGCTTTATTTAATAGCTATTGTCCTTGCACCACTACAAGGTTCGGAAGCGGTGGCCACTGTTACCTCCTATGAAGGGACGGACCATGCCTTGTCCTGGATTTTAACTCGGACCCACTGCTATACCGAAGTCAGGGTCACTAACCACTACACTGGCTGGCGGGTCTAACAGTGCGTCTTTCAGCTGCTGCTTTCCTGGAAAGCTCAATTTCTTTTCAAGAAAGCTGAAGTTGATTAAAAGCTGTATTCGCTCAACAATGACCCATATGAGGGGCCTTAAGGAGATTTCTTCCCCAGACAAGACACAGTTATAAACGAGATACAGTGATTAAATCAGGACTCTTAGTTAATGATTTAACACACCGATTAAATCAGCACTTCTTTATAGCTATATCATTTCAAAAGGGATGAGTAGTTGGACACATAAAGGGAAACTTACTAATTATTTATTGTAAATGTTGAACGGATTCTCACATGGTTTGAAATCTCATTTTAAAGGGAAAATTTAGTAAAATCCCTTTAAATTTTTCAGTGACAGAGCACGGTTTCTTAAACATTTTCAGTCGCGACTCCCAGAATCTCATAATATTTACGAAAATTTTGTGGGGACCCCATAAGTATTGCGCAAATCCGAAAACACGCGTGAGTGAAACTGTCAATTTTTTCACTTGTGCTGTAATATACTATTGCAGTTTTAGATCATTAATTTCTAATTTTAAGACATAGAACAAAGTGAAAATTTTAAATAAGTAACGGACGAAATGACAGCGTCACGTGAAAGTGAACGTTTCTACTATAAAAAGAATGCGTCGAAACGTTTTCGTTTTTTTCTTTGTCTGTATTGCCTTATCTTTATCTATTTTCAGATACACTGTGTAAAAATATTTGGTAATTGTAAAATTATTGTACGAAATTAAATAAATATCAAAACTGCCAAAATTTTTGACGATACACAGTTTAAGAAACCCCGTAATAGAGGAATATACTCACCTTGCACTACCAGTGTCATGAAATCTTCATCTTCTCCGGCAGGATTTTCTACTCTGCACTTGTATTTTCCGCCTGCATTTCGTTCCACTTTGGATATAGTTAATCGTCCCTCCTCGACTCTGTATCCTTCGACAGCACTCAAGTCTCGGGATTCCTTAAAAAAGTGTTGATAATTCATGTTAGACTCGGACGCTGGAAGTTTACCTCAGTAAATTCACAATCACTCATCCAGGGGTAGGTAAGCCCGCATTTTGTCATTACTAGGTTGGATGTCGACGCGTTATGCGAACATTTCTCAACCACAACTTTCATTTTACTGTCATGTTACTATACATGCGTTTCCCGTAACTGGTGGTTTACTCTGGCCCGAAACATTTTGCAATAAGAAATATCTCTATTATTTATAATGAAAAATCAGCCGTTGTTTGTTCCTCGCACTGTAGAAAATGACGGCATTTAAATTCTGAACACACATTGTCTTCAACCCAAATATGTCCAACTCAAAGCCGAAATTTGAATTTATTTTATCTCCTTTCTTGTGCGAATTTAAGAAACTTTTGATTAAAAGCTGAGTGATATAAAAAGCTGAGTGATTTGTGTTGCCACTTGGAAAAGCGTAAGATGTTCACGCTTTAAGTTTAATCAGGAAGCTCGGTGATATAAAAAGTATGTTGCCACTCAAAACACATATATGTCTTTCGAATTCAATCGACAAAATCGGACTTTTTCTGAAATGACATGCCAATTTTTTTTCCAATTTAGAGGAAATATGTTGCCACTGCCGGAATTAAAATATTTTCATCTTCCACGCGGAAGTGTGTTGTCGTTCAATAAAGCGTAAGCTACTTTTTTTTCTTCAAATTTTTCTGTTGTTAATGCACAAACTAAGCGACTTAAAAGCAATAAACACAGATCCATTTCAGTTATTACTAATTATAACTGATTCATTAAAATCATTATATACCATCAGCGTATAATGCGCACTTTTAATACAAAAAAAAAAAAAAAAAAAGACCTCGAAATTCAGTGGCACGTGTTATACGCCGGGTATAAAAATGGTAGATTTAAAAAATGAGAATAAAAACAAATTGATTTCTACGTGTAACCTCCGCAAAGAAAAGGGGAGGCGAGACAGTTCTACATCTCCCGTTCTACTGGGCCGATTGACGAAATTCAGCTTGCGTTTCTCATGTCTCGAAACCGCAACTTAGAATATGTATTAAGTTTATACACCGCATTGTTCTAATACAGGTATTTTGACATAAAATCGGACTTTTTCTGAAATAACATGCTCATTTTTTTCCACATTTCGATTCTACAACTCAAACGATGCCGAACTGCCAAGTTTTGTAAAAATCGCGCGTGTGGTTTTTAAAAAATTTGAGCTCCTCAATGTTAATTGAATTTGGTATATATTTGTTAATACCTCTTTTTTTTTTATTAAACTTATTTGATTCTTCCTTTCACATTTTGAAATTTAGGTTCATCCCAAATAAAATTCGTCCATTTTCATGATTTATTTTTAAAATTTGCATTCTAAAATAATTTTTATATATTTTTCAAAAAACATTTTAAATTATCTAAAAAATTTTTACCATCATCTTAAAGTAGATGTACAGGCATACCAAAATAAAATAAACAGTAGAAGCAATAGATACCATTTCACAGAATAAAAAATTAGTTTTTTTATTCAAAATTTCCGAATTCAGAGCGTTAAAGTGTATATTATAGTTATACAAGTCATATATTTTTAAAACAGAAAAATGGATAATTATGGCCAAAAGTTTAACATTCTTTTGTACATAAACGGACAAATAAAAAAATTTGATGGGATAATATAAATTCTTTTAGCTCAAGAGGGGTATTAGTCTCGAAATAGTATTGTGCATTGCTTCACTATAAACGACGTATCACTTTTCAAATTGTTGCCAACAAATTTTATCGCCTTGTGTTATTTTTAAATAAATTAAATAATGAAGATTCTGCATGAATGCATGTTTCTCTCATTGCGAAAACAACGCGGTACCTAGAACCATCCAATTCTGAATAATGTAGTCCTCCACTGTAGCCTGTGAATCTTGAAGCCCGAATTTTCTATTTTGTTTTATTATTTACTTCCTATTTTTTAAAACTAATGTTTTTTGATTAACAAATTCAACGATTTGAAAGCAAGCAATGGCAACACTCCTTGAAAAATAAAACCTTTTTATCTCCAGTCGGCAAGACTGTTGCCATTCGGAAAATGCAAGATATTTATCTTTTAGTTTCAATTAACAAACACAGCAGTGTGAAAGCAATGTGTTACCGCGGCCGGAGATAAAATTCCTGTAGCTTCCATGCACCAGAGTGTTCCTATTCAGACAGCCTAAGATACTGTTACGAATTCCGTATATATGTAAATAATTTTAGACAAATTATATGTGAAATTGTAGAATATATTGTATAATGTTCAATGCTTGAAAAAAAAAACAACAAAGCTCTAAAATAAGGTTACAGGGGCAAGTTTAACATTGAGGTAAATGGCTATCTTTCTAAATGGGCGATGGTTTACAAGACTAATTTTTGTCGACAAACTTTGGGATCATTTCGTGACATTTTGGTCCGGTGCCTGTATAACAGTAAGTGGTTCTGTAACTCAATAATTGTAATTGATCCTGTACGTAACTTTAACCGTACATGCCTTCCAGTAACTTCGAGAAATGGCAGATACTATAGCTTTTTTCGCTATAGGTTTTTCGCTATATATTTGGTTTGTGTAATTATGGCAAAGCCTCGAGGGCTATCTGCCTAAAGGGAGTGATGCCTTTGTGGAGGGCTTTCTAAGGGAAACTGGCTCGTATACACGTTACACATGGGGAAAACCACGAAAACGCCCATGCAGCCAGCCCGTTCACGGGATTCGAACTTCGGAGGTAACTACCAGTGTTCAGCGACTTTACCTGTCGGCCGCTGGTGGGCTATATAAACTCGGAAACAGTGTCAGTTCTCAGTTTTTTTCTTTAGCTCAGAGATGACTTCGGAGTACTGAGAAATTTCCGTGGGAGCTTCTCTCTTTGAATGCACATTGCGTTGTGTTTAACGTTATTAGTAGTTTAAGGCGGCAACTAATGATTGTACTCTGCCTTATTGAGAAGATTGTACGAGTGCTTTTTTAGGGAAAGTTCCAGAATTGTACAGTAGAATAATGTGCATTCAATCGTTACGAACCCTTACGCACGTAACAATACTCTCAAATTTATTCTGGAAGGTTATCCAGTCATAAACTAAGCGATTTAGAAGCAATAAACACAGTTCTTAAGAAAATTTCTTTCTACTTTTTAATGTGATTGATTTAAATAATTAACATGTATTAAAATCATGAGACGTCTCATTAGAAATATTTAATATTTTTATGCAATTACACCAGCTAAACTTATTAAAATCTTTATATATTTTTCTTTTTTTTATGATGACTTTTTTACGCGGATGACTGCACAAACCATTAGTTTTTCAAAAATAACAAAGCGAGTTTAAAGACATGCATGGTAATCTCCAAAACTCTAACGGGAATTCTAAAGCATGCTGTTTTTAAATATTTTGCGATTTTGCTGTTGAATTTTATATGGCATAAGTTCGATGAACGTGGTATTTAATAATAATAAAGCTAAAAAGACAAAAAAGAAAAAAAAAAAGTTGGCAGGCGTTACTGCAAGAGTAGACTGGTAGACTGCGAGCTCATTGTGAGCATAAAGTATCTTAACCCTTTTGGACGACCGTCAACATCTGAAATCTTTCCGATTTTTTTTTATACTTTCACTTAATGTGTTAACATGATTAATAAGTTTTAATGGCAAAGAATCCCAAAGATACTACCTATATTTATTTTCACTACAGTCATATTATTTCACTTTTGCCAATAATACAACAGTATTAGTAGTGCACTATTACGTGCACAAAGTTATTCTCATTAGCAGCAGATTATACATATGCTGGCAAAAGCAAAATCCATCACTGTTTTCTAGATTATTGTTAACAACTGTATCGTTTGTAACAGCAATAAAATAAAAATTAAACAAGTAATATAAAAAAAAAAAAAAATCAGTTCCTATTTAGGTCAACAAAGAAAAATTTTATTTTAGTTACTTTTTTATTAACATTTTTCCGTTTCTAATTTACGAAGCTGATGGTGGTCTACAATTTATCATTCTAACCATCTCTTGTAATGCTTCATTACTGCAAGGAAACTTTCCAGTTCAATTAATATTCCATCTAAAGATTTCACACCATTCCAGGCGACATATGCTTGACCTGCTGCGAGGAGTTTTCGCCTTGATATATTACTGCATAATATACAGTGCTATTTATTTATTTTAATAAGCGAAGGATATTTTTAAACATATATTAACAGGTTAACATAGAAATATGGGCAGAAGTTTCGTTACATATGGAACATTACATCCGCTTCATCCAACTCTATAAAACTACAATTCTCTAATTCCATACATTTAAAAAATCTTTAGAACTCTGTCTTACTGTTGCCACTTATTTTTTTAAATATGACAATCCCATTGATCACAGTCATGTGCTATTATTTATACGTTGTTATAAAATTAATTTTTACAACACGTGATAATTCGTAATAAACGGTCATTATTTGTAAATCTTATAATATATTTCATAAAAACAAGAATCAATAAATAGGAATTGACTTTCATATGTGAAAAAACTGTATTAACATCGAGTGTCATCCACTACAAGTTTCAAAAAATGTATTTGAACTTGAGTGGATGAATAAAAAGTATTTTATTAACGACTGAAAATTTGAACAAGATATAGGGAGAGAGTACGGATTTTAAAAAATGCCGCGGAACTTACCGGATCATACCAAAAATAATTTATGGGAGTCGAGCCATCAGCTCTACAGGTGGTCGTATATTGTTCTCCTTGAATGGCAACATCGTTCTCGGGTAACTCGATTATCTTTGGTGGAGCTATTCAAAAGGAAAATAATTATTTTATCTTACACAGTATTCCAAACGTTCATAATTCTTTACACATAAAATGACACAACATGTAGATAATTAAAGAAACAGTTACTGCAATATTATTAGAATTCTTAGAAAAAAGTTAAAATGACTAAATATAGTAATTTACAATTTAATCTGAACAAACGGTAATTTTATGAATGCTTTTTTTCAAATAGTGATATTCTTAAACGAAATTTTTGCCTTTAATTTTCTGAAGTTTCATACTTCTAATTACAGTCGAACCCGACTATAACAAACCTGGCTCATAACGAAAGAACCTTATTAGTCTCGAACAGTTTCTTGCACATTTAATGTTATTCTGTTCTGCTATAGTGAATTTTCAAATGCATGATAATTGGATGTAAGGAGCTCTATGCATGGATATCTCGATTGAAACTTTTTCTTGTATTTTTCGTATCCTTTTTCCGAATTTCTGCAAGCTAAAAAATTACTAATCATTAAAATTATTCATGTTTAGGATATTAGGGTACACATTCCATTTGTAACGAAAAACAGCTGTAGGTTATTTTTCCTTCATAGATGCCATTCTTCAAATACGGCAAGAGGTAATGTTCCCATAGCAACATAACCATAGTGGTTTTCTAATATACCTGTTAGCCCGTTTTATGGTTAGAAATTGTGATACTTGCATTCCATTGATTGGTCAAGTAGCCCAATTTAGCGCCAATTATGAGTAACGATATCATTTAAAATTCCGCAGTAAAGATTGGAGATTAATTCGACAAAAAATGCCGAAATTTCCGCCAATGGTCGGCGGGATAATGCTTTAAGTTTTTGCTTTGTTTTTATGTAAATAACGAGGTCTCGAGGGCTATCTGCCTAAGGGAAAGGATGCCTTCGTGGAAGACTTTCTAAGGAAAACTGGCTCGTATACACGTTACACAGGGGGAGAACCACGAAAACGCCTATGCAGACAGTCCGTTCGCTAGATTCGTACCTTGGACCAAACTACCAGTATTCAACGACTCAATCGCTCAGCCGCTCATGTGCCTGATAATGCGTAAGTACCGAAATTATAATTTTAAATTGAAGATAAAGCTATAATCGTTAGTAAATATAATTGTTGTGATCAAAAGAACAATTTGGCGAAAAGTACGGTCGCCAAGCATCATCTGCTTTTAGCATTCCTAACCTGGTAGTTTCTATGAACGACTCCAAGATTATCATTTTCCTAAAAATATTAGTATAAAAAGGCTTGTTAAGATCTTTTATCTAATTTAATATTGGAATCAATTCGCAATTTTTAACTGTATTCGATTAGGTGTAGGGTCCCGCACCCCGGCACCCTGGTGTCTGTCGCCATTATTCCGTCGTCGTCATACGCCAGTTTACCGCAGTTGGATGAAAGAACTTCTAGGATTAAGAACGAAAGCTTCGCTAAAGCAGGAGTTGCTCAGTGAGACAAAGGGGTAGCTAGGGTTTTCAGCGCTCTGGGGACAAATGAAGATCTTGAGGGTTTTCAGCGCCCTGGGGACAAATGAAGATCTTGCGCCCTGTTCTGTGTTTTAAGAATGAAACATATTTCATTCTAAAATTTCGTAACATCAATTTGGCCCCCCTGGATTCTGCGCCCCCTTGCTCTCCACTCTGTCTTCGCCACTGCAGTCGGACCGAAGAGGGGAAAATATACACGAAGTTTACGTTATAGGGGCTATCTATCCAGCCTTTAATATCTTTTTGCTCATGAGCGAAATAGCTGTCGAGCCGATGCCGAAGATCGAAGCTCACGTTTGTCACGAAAAAAAAAAGTCAAAACTTTCGTGTCAAACTTCTGTGGCACTGTTCCACTTCCCTCGCTGCATCGATGCAAATCAAATGCGATCTGCGCAAGCAGATTAATGGATTATTTATTTCGAACTGCGAATCTACGAAAATCTGAGTTTAAATTAACGTGAAACTTTTTGTCAAAGAAAGAATTCTGTAGGTTCTTTGGTTTGGTAACATATTCCTCAATTTTCTGTACACCTAGCGATTTGGCGAAGAGAATTAGTCCCTCCAAGATTTAGCTAAGCAAACTGGTTTACAAACTAATCAAATTCGTTTAATTACGTCTATGGAAGTTTTCCTTCTTCTACAAATACGTTCGTTGGCCAGTACTCTACGAGTTCTAAACAAAGGCTATGCAAGAAAGGTGTGACACACAACTCTAGGAAAACGAAGATACAATGACAATTTGGAAATGGCAAATTTTTGTGGCGTCACCTTTCCTTGATACTATAATCACATGTTCGTTTTAATGGTTAATCCAGCTTCGCTCAGAGACCCTAAATAACTTTTTTTTTAAAAGATTACAAAAAATTCAGCTATGCAGAAGCACATATTTTAGAATTTATATTCAATAACTGCGCTAGAATAAGGATTTGTGGTTTCGGACTACTTAAGATTCCACCGTAAACATTAATGGGCTTTCCCGTCAACAGGTGAAGAGGGGATGGGCTGGATTCAGTTGCAGGTAACACCATGATGTATCCTAAAAGAACTGGAAGAGACACTGAGAGACACGAGGTAAAGACAAACTGGGGAGTTTTTTTAATCGGCAGAAAAACTACCCATGTCGTTTAGTTCCTGCCAGTTCAGGCAGCGCCAAAGAAAGTGGAGTTTTATTTGGCGAAGAAACTAACCAGTCTCGTTAACTACTGACAGTTAATCTAGCAGCAAAGAAAACTCACTTAAGACATTGACAGTGATGTTCCGGTACTTGTTATTCCCAGTCGCTGGCACGAAGGCTTCCACTGTATAGACGCCAGCATCCTCTTGGGATACACTGGAGATGCTGATGCCTGACGGAGAGATCGAAAAACGTTCGGAACTGACTCGTTGTTTGTTTTTCTCCCAGTTGATGGTTGGCTTGGGATTGGCGATGGGCTTGCATTTGATCCGCCCTTCCTTGCCCACCACCAAGTTCTGAACTTCGGGACAGTCTTCAAAGCGAATACCCTCTGAAAAATAAGAGACAAGTCACTGGTAAATTAAAAAAATAAATTAAAAAAAAAAAAAAAAAAAAAAGGATCACTTCTCAGATTTTGGATCTTAAAACATTCCCTTAGAAGAATTTTCTTAGATATGTTCGATATTTTTAATTGTAAGATCTATTAGCAATTCGGACATTGTTTTTTTATTTGGAACGCTTTCATACCCCGTGGCGCAGTTTCGACGCAATTGTTAAAGACAGAAACCTTCAGTAGGGTGCCCCAGCATAAAGATACGAGCACCTTAATAAAAATGATTTTCTAAATTGGGAAGGGGGGAAAACTTAGTTAAAGTGTTGGTACATTTATGCCGCCGCATCGTTTTGCAAGTCAGATTTTCGTTTGCATTGCGATTTAGGTTTACAAAGAAAATCAGACTTGTATAAGGATGCACAGGCATAAAGGTTCCAACATCTTTACACCCTTATGATTTTTTTTTTTTTTTTCCAACTTAGGAGAACCGATCTTCTTTAGGGTGTCGACATCTTTATACCGAAGCACTTTATAAAGGTTTGTTCCCCTTCAAACAGTAATCACTTCTGTTCTTTCAGAATTCCGCAGGAATTGGCACAAATTTGGCAGGTTAGGTTATTTAATTACGTCAAAGCCTCGAGGGCTATCTGCTTAAGGGGAGTGATGCCTTCGTGAAGGACTTTCTACGAGAAACTGGCTCTTATACACGTTACGCATGGGAAAACTACGAAAACACCCGTGCAGCCAGCCCGTTCGCGGGATTCGAACCTCGGATCGAACTACCAGTGTTCAGCGACTTTACCGCTCGGCCGCTGGTGGGCCCCAAATTTGGCAGGATATTCGCCAACTGTCACAGTCGACGAGATAATTCGTAAGTATTTAAAAATATTCAGATTTATTTTGATTGTAATTGAATTTGCGGTGACATGTTGTGTAAGTAAGTGTTTATTTCTCATATAAATTTTAGATCTTTTAATTACAGATTCCAGTAGCATTAAAATCGTAAAAATACTTCAAGTAGAACGCGAAATATGGGCAAACATGCTCCTTACGAACACTGGAGATATTTCGCGATTCTTCGCCAACTTGGCGATTTTCTAGAAGATTCGGGAAAACGTATTTCGAAGGTCTAAGAGGAATTTTTCTCGAAGCTTCTAGAAATTCATGCAAGACCATACACAAATATGGATCCAAATCTTAAAATAATGTTTGAAATATGTGAAAAGGCAGAATAATGACGTAATTAGCTCACCAGAGTATTTATACTAAATCTGAGGTATAAATAGAGCTAATCTGTGATTGGTTAACATTAGTTTCAGTTGACCTCTTCCAATAGTGTTACATAATGTAGAAAAATTCGATTTAGCTCCGAATAATCGATGATCTCCTGCATCTTCATCAAATATTAGAAAGAAAGACAACACTAGCAGTAATCAACAGAGTGATGAAAGTAACTTTCTTTTGGCAAATGCATCAATTTAATTTAGTATTTAGGAAATGAACTCATCAACATGAAAGTTGTTTCAGCTTTTCAAATTATTTTATCGTCTGAGTGGAGGAAAATTCAGTTGTTCTCTGGGAAATGAAACAAATCCTTTATTACAACCAAAAACACATAGAATAACATAGTTACATAAATCCTTAATTAAAATTAATAAATTAATAATTTATATGCCGTAATAAAGAACTTTATTTTATTTAAAATTAATTAAAACTTGCATTCTGTGTAGTAATAAAGAAAAGAAATCTAATAACATCTTAGTAAGTGCTACGATGATGAATTAGAAGAGATTAGAAGAAAGAGATTAGAAGTTGATCTATAGACATTCAAAAAATATTACCATAAAAATTAATTGTAATTTCAGCTTCTAAAGTCAGAGTGTTGCTGTAAAGAGCCGTACATTTGTAAATTCCGCTGTCTTCTACAGACGGCGTGACAAATGACAACTTCAGTTCCTTCTCGAAGAAGTGGACGCCAGGTCTCCTGAAGAGGAAAAAAAAATATGAACACTTATATTTTTAAAGAGAATCTCGATTTATTTCTAAGGGAGGGAAACTTTGTAATATATAAATTAATAGCACCCTGAATGCCACTTGCCAGGTGACATGTAGTCTCTACTGTGCTGAGGATCATCTTTCGGACACTTGTAAACTCCCAGGTGGTGCTAAAGCCACATACATCAGATGTAGTTTAGGTAACTTAAGACACCATAGTTCCTTTCAACTTTACTTGGTGAAATTTTCCAGTAGGTACGCATGAAATTCTCACCCAGAATAAAAGCTACAGAGACATTAATTTATTTCGAAGCAGGAGACATGGAAATATGCAACGCCCTGGCCGGGACTCGTACCTCGTACCTCTCGAATACGCGCCGAGTGTGCTGACCATTACACCACGAAGGCATGCTAAGACGGGAGAAATATCTCACAGACCTTCCTGATGTTTCTCAATGTGCGAAAGCGGCGAATGGTTTAATGCATCAACAGTTTCAGCTTAATTTACGCCTAAAAATATCTTATTTTCCGCTTCGACAAATTATTTGACTGCGCATCTAAAAGCATAAGTGACATTTACATGAATTCTTCACCCATGATTGTAAAACTCAGACAGTAGAACATTTTTTTACTCTTTCCATAACTGCTTAACAACGGTACTTGCTAATCGGGAGAAGTATTTGCTTTTAACTCAAATATCTCTGAAAGTCTTCTTAATAAATTGGAAAGAGAGATGCCGAAATATTCAAACTACGCCACTGCTGAAATCGACTTTGCTTTTGAAGCATTTAAAGCTGAAAATTTAAAGCATGCTGAAGTATTTAAAGAAAAAAATTTCTTCAGTTGCTCCCACTTTAACCCAAAAAATGATCCTTTTTTTAAAAAGAATTTCTAAAATTTCCATTACGAAAAGTTATTTCTAAGTTAATGAAACTCTGCTAATTAGTACCATTAAAAGAAGAAAACTGCAGCGGGTAACATAAAACTGAAAAAAACTCCCCCTCCTTCTTCCTCCGCAATTTTTGAGAAAACGCGAATAAGAACAGAATATATTTTCACGCTTTCTTCAGTTCATACAGATAGGGAAAAAACGCCTCATAAAAGAAGTATTTGGGGACATAATTAATTTTCAGAACATAATTAGTTGCTTAATTAATACAGAAACGTCAGTTTGCATTTTCGATTGAGTTAATATTTCTTGGCGCTTTTTTTTTTTTTTTTTTTTTTTTTTTTTTCCCCGTGTGTGTCCAAAAGCGGAGTGAAATTTATTACTTAAATTATACTAGAACTACGATTACTTGAATTGCGATAATTCGAAATGAAAATATTGACAAAATTTACTCAAAATAAACCTTCATAATTTTCAGTAATTGGATTTTTTTTTTTTAACTCGAAATATTTATTCATCAAATTTTTGGAAGAAGGCTGTAACATTTTACTTACATTTGTTTTCTGTATATACCAAATTCAGCTATTAAACTTTACCTGGATAAAAACATTACCTGGATAGATTTGTTCCAAACCGCCTACGCAAAAACAAAGACTGGATAGATTTGTTCTAAACCACCTAGGCAGAAATCTGAAATGCGGCGTAATTTGCAATCCCATGGTATTCAGAATCAATTAGTGCCTCTCTAGCCATCCTCTTATATATTTCGAATATTTAAAAATGCACTTTTTAAGTCCCGAACAGCTTGTTGTTCGACACAAGTTACAGAACCTCGACAGGCAAACCAATGGTTGCGCTCGAAATTTCAAGCTGATATTTCAGCTTGTCCATGTATCATTCTGGTAAAGGTCAATGTATCATTCTGGTCTGTTGGGGTACGTTTTGCCGAGAAAACTGCGGACACACAATGCCCTAAGGGATGTCGCACCATTCTGCCGAAACATTTCCTTTGGTTGACGGTCCTCCAATTGTTGGCAAATGTATTTATTCAATGTATTCAGGTAAACTCAGGCTGTTCATAAGAGAAAAAGTGGTCCTAAAATCTTGTCATGCAGCATGGCGGGTGTAGTTGTATTCCCTTGAAGTTTGGAAGGTTTGGACTTTTGGAACAGACCATATGGGAGTTTATGGGAGTAGTACTAAAAGTATCCTTTATTTGGTGGTAGGTCCAGGCTTGGGAGTTACCGTACTGGTTCTGTCTCGTCTGCCCCTTGGTTGTGGGGACATTACATGGTTTGATATCGCAGTTTCTTTTAGGAGGATGGATTCCCCTCGATCGATACAGAGGGATGGACGATTTCAAACTTGTGACTTTGTTTTTCTCGGTGGATGCTAGCCGTCCACCAATGTACTTGGATATATTTTAACCGGATATATTTTAACCGATATAACATTTAAAATCCCTCCGAATTGACCAGGGTTCTATAATAATAGCTAATGTACAGTTTTGTTCAAAGTGAAGTTTCCTTATTTGCATTCCTACACATTTCGTGCCTTAAATTTCACATTAATAACTGTTCATTCTTAAATGTGTTCCCTGCACAAGAAATACCCTTCAAACAGAATGAATTTATCTTATTCACAACGAATATACTTAATTTATTCATATATAATTTTAATGTTAACAATAGGTATAATCAGATCATTCGCAATATGTATTTTGAATCGTACACTTTCAGAATCAAAGGAATGCAAGCACTGAAATAAGAAAATACTGGATTCATTGTAACACTTCCAGTTATTCTCAGCTCAATTAAAAAAATGTACACTTGAATTCTCATAATCCACCGGTGTTAGTAAATGAATAATATTCGAGGCTAATTGTAGGATTCCTTTTCTCTATGTAAAGAGCGGTAATATATCACGAACATTGATATTAATATCAGTGTGTGATAAGTTTCACGAAAGTGAAATGCTGACAATTAAATAAACTTATAAAATGAAAGCACTATGAGATTTTCTACTAAAATCAGTATTTATATACCATATATTTACAGCTACGAAACAAATGCAAAATAAAATAAACAACATGCGCTCACATGTAAAGCTTCAAAGATTCAGCGTCATAAGAGCAATAGAAGCTCATTGGTCAATTTTTGAAACCCCTCCTTCAGTGGCGATAATGATGGGCACTTGTGAATTATGCGCTTGGTTAAAGATTCTACAGCGTTTAAATGCCGAAAGTATGTACCTCCCATTTAAGTTCATCGAGAAACTCAATTTCATGGAATATTTTATTTAAGTACTCAGTTTTACATGCATAAAATAAACATCAATGTAGTTTTACAATAATATCCAATAAATGTAGGTACTTATTTACCCTTCGTGTATTTCTTCGTCTCTCGGATTGATCCATTTCATTTCCGTGAAAGTCCCATCCGGGTCTCCCGATTCTCCCTTGCATATAAGGCCATAAGACTGTCCAGCAGGAATAATAACTGAATTCTGATTGGGAAAGATCACAAGTTTGGGTTCATCAGATATCACCAGAATGATTTGAAAAGCTGCAACAAAGGGAAAAAATTAAAAGTTAGCGAATCATATTATTTAGCCTAAAAATGATAAAAAAAAACTTACACTCTAATTTTTCAATAACAGAATTAACTTGTTCAATAATCTCTTGTCATAACTTTGGCATTATTGTCATAGTCCTAAAGTGTAAAAAATCATCGACTCCGCGTAAAATCCTGCATCCACAGGTGTAAACTTGGCGGATTTAAAGACTTGACATCGCCTGTTAGGAAGTACAGTTCATTTCAGTACTGGGATAAACGCAGAAGTCAGAAAGAACGTGTAGTCAGAAAAAGGCGAAGTCGCGCATGCGTGAATGTTCAAATGATCCAAATCGCCGACTGAATGCCAACTAGTACTTAATTCCAGATCGACATGAAGCTGAACAATTGGAACATCCAGACAAAATTTTTATACCAATTTCCTTGACGATCAGTACAACTCCATTTAACCGAACTCCGATTATCCGAATCCCTTATTATCCGAAACGCTTTCAGAATTTTTCAGAATCACCTGAAGAGGAGAAGGAAAAGGAAAAAGAAGCTCAAGAAAAGGAAAGGGAAGGAACAGGAGAAGATGAGGATGAAGTGTCACTTGAGGAATTCAGAAACTTTCTTTTGAAAATTCCTGGATGTTTAGTAGTTAGTGCTGAAAATACAGCAGAATGGACGATGCGCGATTCGTCAGATCCTGGGTTTCAAATTCTAAATGATGATGAACTTATTGAAAGTGTGAAAGAAGATGACCTTAAAATTGAAGCAGACACTGAAACATCATCTAGTGAAGAGTTTGCCGGCCTTGAAACTGTGTTGAAGTGGATGGAGCGTCAGCCCGAGTGTAACCACATGCAACTTCTCATTGTCAATTGGATGCGCGACTTAGCCGCCCAAAAACCGATGAAGACAGTCAACAGCTTACTTTGTCTGAAATGTTCAGCAAGCAATAACTTTCAGCACTTTTAAGTACTGTACAGTACGCTATATAGCATGTAAAAGTGTTGCCTTTTTATTTTAATTAATTAAAACTTCTTTTCCTTTAAAAAAAATGTTTTTTTTTCTCCCATTTTCAACACATAGTACATACAGTAATTAATTAAATTGTAGGCAGATTCTCTTTTCGGGAAAAAATCCGGTTATCCGAATGGAATCCGGTCCCAATTGATTCGGATAATTGGAGTTCTACTGTACTAAGTTTCGGTTGACTGCACAAAGAAGTTTGGCTTATGCCACTCACGCCTAACAAAGCCGCCCACCAGTGGTCGAGCGGTTCAAGTCGTTGAACATAGGTAATTCGACCTGGCTTCAATTCCCGACGAGAGGGCTTGCTGCATGGGTGTTTTCTTTCCCGATTTATAACATGGATATGAATAAGTTTCCTTCAGAAGTGACTCAACGAAGGAGTTCCGTCCTCTTAAGCAGATAGTCCTACCGTGCTTTTCCATAATCAGAAAAACCAAACCCAGCCTCACAAAGCCCTCGCGTGAACGCTTCCACTATGGCAAAATTACCAAACGCGTTGAAAGAAGAACTCCGTAGCTAGGCAACAGTACTTTGCTGGGCAATCAAATATGGTTTAATGCATTGAGCTCTAATTCTAATTTTGAACTTAAAATGCAGATTCCCAAACTCTCCCCTGTTATGATAAAAACTATGATACTCAGAAAAGCAGAAACTATGAAATCTGATACATAAACGGTAAAAACTATGACACTTAAAACTACGTTTACAAAAAAAAAAAAAAAAAAAAAAAAAAAAAGAGTTTGGCAGAAAAAAGCTTTTTGCATATTAGGGATTTTGCGTATATGTGCAGTTTAGGTTTTTTCTACTGAACTGCAAAAGAAAATCGATATACATACACACACAGAAGAGCCCTGGGAGTTTCGGGGACTTCAGCTAGTAAAATACCACACATACACAGTTTCAGGCAGTTGTCAGAATCATTGTTTAAAGTGTATCGAAACATACACCTTTCATTCATTATAATGACATTCACATCAATTTAACATCATTGTACAATCATTATTAATGCCAATTTAACATAATTTTAGCCTCCGATCATGACTTCTTTAAAACTTCAAAATAAGCTAATGGAAATCTTATTGTAAAAATGCAAAGAAATTCATAATTTAGCCAAAGGTTCATTTCTAAGTTTTATGATTAATTAAATAAGAAAATTAATTCAAATTTAAACCACTTTCGATACAATTTTTAGTTTGAGGGAATGATTTAATAACTTTAAATTAGTTATTAAAATTTAACCGAATGAGTTTTCGGTATACTAGCAAATTCCAAATAAAAAATATACGAACAAAATTTAGCGAGTACCCACTCATTTCCTTTAGTTTTACAGAAAGTTTTTTTTAATACTTTCTGAAGGGCGGACATGTTTGTGGCATATTCTGAAGGAACTTCTTGGCAAAATGCATTATACGACGAAGGTACGCATGATTAAGAATGGTATAAAGTATGGTATGAAGTGAAAATTTATGCACAGCAGTCAAAGCTTAAGCACATTCTAGAAATCGTTTGTGCTAAAGAAGGCCATATTTCTTATTAATTTTATTTTTAATCACTATATATCAAGGTATGTACATAAATTATCAAAAAATTGCTTTATCCTAATTAAATTTAATTTATCACTTCTCAAAATATGCAGTAGTTTAAAGCAATTTTCCTCTCATCAATAACAGATGGCAGCACTATACCATTAAAACTTAAATGTTTTCCACTTTAGATACAAGATGGCAGCACTAATCAACATTTTTTAAAGCTGAATTGGTAACCCCTTTAAAAGAATGAGAAAAATTCTAAGAAATCTTTCAATAGTTATTTTTTTATACATTTCATGTTTTTCAAAATAATCAATAAATTTAAGTATGCAAATTATGTAAAAAAGATTTATAGGACCGTGTAAAAAATAACAGGTAATACTGAAATAAAAAGAGACATTTTACATTAAAATTGGTTGGCCTTCACAACTTGCCTCTCATCCGGAGAATGTCATCACGAAGCATCCATTTCGTAGTCTGACGATGGCAATTATCAGCATTGTATCTGCGAAAAATCGCATTAAGCAAATTGCTCACTAATTTAGTTGGTAATGGCAGTATACAAGACGTCAATGGATTGATATTTTTAACATTTAAATATTTTTAGTCCAAAGGAGCAATTTGCCCTGAAGGACTATTAATTTCGTTTTGTCTTTTTGCGTTGGTTCACTGTAAATATCGGTTCACTTTTCAGATTGTTGCCACGGAATATTATCGCCCTGTGTTATAGTTAAAGAAATTAAATAATGAAATAAATATATGTATGTTTCTCGCATTGGGGTAAAACAACGGTACCTAAAGCCACCAGTTTTGAATAACGAAATCTTCTACCGTAATCTCCTGGAAGCCCGAATTTGAAATTTGTTGTATTATCGATTTCATATTTTGTAAAACTGTAACGAATTTTTGATTCAACGGTTTCAAAACGAGCAATGGCAACACTGTACGGGGGAAAAAAAAGCATCTTTATCTCCAGCGCGCGAGATTGTGTATCGGAAATTCTAAAGCATTGCTCATTTTAAAATTATTTCGCGATATTGCTGTTCAGTAGTTGAATTGAATTTTATGGTTTAAGTGCAAAATGGGCGAAGGTGGGCATCCACTAATGAAAAAATATGTCAATAAATCATTAGACTGACTGATTGTTTCTAACACGTTTTGTGGAAGAGTCACATAATTGGTTACCACTTGTTACAAAATTTCATGTGCCCGCCAGTGGCGTAGCTAGGGTAGGGCAAGAGGGGACATCTGCCCCCGGGCGCAGCATCCAAGGGGCGCAAATTCTTCAGTTGTCCCCCCGCGATGGAAACTCTAGCTACGCCCCTGATGTCCGCAGGGATGACAGGTGCAAATGTTACTTGTGTAGTGCCCATGTGCGTAAGTATCATATCACCATGTGCCTACTTGAGTCCTGTGCATAAGTGTCATACCACCATGTGCTTAACTCTTTGAGGGGCAGGAAAAGGCAATTTTTTCAGTAAAATCCTTTTTCTGTTTATATCGGGTGTTACTATATCGGCTGTTACAATAAAATTATTTGCGACAATTATACATATTTTGTTCAAGACACCTGAAAAAAGTGACCATTTCTGGTGGTTGGTGTCGGTGACCACCGCCCACAGAACACATCCCTACAAATCAGTCTCTATGGTACTCATGGAAACGGTTTTTCTTTTTCAACCAGAGTGCAAACTTTGCATGTGCTGCATTCCCCCCACTGTTCTTACAGGTTTTTTCTTGGTGCTGCAGAGTGCACATCGTCGTGATGTTGTCTTCGATGGCGGATGCTTTTCTTGAAGACGAATCGCTGCATCAACTACTGGCTTATGTTTTTTGATTGCCATCTAGTGAGTTACAAGGGAACTTCAGAAACGGCCAGTCTTGAAAACCACTTAGATGAGTGAGTACGACGTTCAATAGAAAAGGTGGTTACTGTAGGTAACCACCGCCCTTCAAAGAGTTAAGGGGACGAATGTCTTTGTGGAGAACTTTCTGTGAAAACTGGCTCGTATTTGGGAAAAAAATTAAGTATGCAGCAAAGTCAGCTTATGTTCAAACTACCGCTATTCAGCGCCCTTAAAACTGTTATTACGCCATTGGTAGAGCTAAACAAGGACATCGGCCTTTTATGTTTTACCAACAAATATGACTTTTATCGGTGTACCTTGCTGAAACGCTGGAGTTGGTTACACTCCCTGAAACCCTTGCATAGCTGCTGGGAAAAAGTAATTCGTATCCTGTGCCTCGAACCTGTCATCTCGCTCTCGATGCTTCAATAACGAGATCTCTTATACGGAAGAACGGACATAATGGAGCATGTCTGCCTCATAATGTCAGTCCTTAAGAATCACGCAACGGTTAGTAATGGATCGGAAAACCGTGACTTGCAGTAACCAAAGGTTTAAGCGAAACGTTTCGTGATAACACGATTTTGTTTCCTCTCCT